TTTCTCTTGCACCAGCATATCACTGTTTAGGTAGGTGGCACATATCAAACTTACGTCCATATGAATGCCTGGACCCAAGGTTTCCCAGCAGATTATTGCCCAGAGCATCACACTCTCTCCACCAGCTTGTCTCCTTCCCACAGTGCATTTAGTCACTTCCTCAGGTAAATGGCACATATCAGACGATACGGGATTACCTTCATTACCCTTATGCATCAGTGAGCCTTGGGTCCCCAACACCTTGTCACAGGTGTGTGGTTTGTCCCTCCTCTGACTACTGTTGGTAGGTTCTCACCACTCACCCCACAAGCCCTGCAGTTGTGGAGATGCTCCGACTCAGCCGTAATGATTTTGGCCCTTATCAGGGTCGTGCAGGTCTTCACGCCTTCTTTTCTCCTGCATCCAGCACTTCAGTGTTTAGGTAAGTGGCACATATCAAACTGACGTCCGCCTGGACCCAGGGTTTCCTAGCAGAACACTGAGGATCACCCTCATTGCCCTCATGCATTGACGGGCCTTCGCCGCCCAGCTTGTTGCAGGTGTGTGGTTTGTCGCACTTCTGACAACTGTTGGTAGGTACTCACCACTGCTGACCAGTAGCACCCCTCCAGCCTTGCAGTTTTCAGAGATGCTCTGACCCATTTTGGCCAGTTTGGCGTTGCGAGAGTCACTCAGGTTGTCACACCTGTCCAATTCTCCAGTATCCAGCATGTAAACTACAAGAACTAACTGTTTGCTTACTGCCTAATATATCTCAGACCTTGACATGTGCTGATGTTACGAGATAATCACTTGGTCATTTGCTTTATCTGTTTCGGTGCATCATTTGTATGGCAAGTATGATGGGGAAAATCCCCTCAACTAATATCTTCAACTGTGCTGAACCGGTAGTGGTGTAGGTTACATTAGCTTAGCTGGCCTGCAACATTAAAATAGCTGAAACAAATGAACTTTCTGCAGCAAATCAATCAGACATTTGTCCTTAAATACCTGATCATATTAAAGAGAAAAAACTTGTGCAAGCAATCCTAAGAGTTTAATCTTTTACAGGCATACAAAATACACATTAAAGCTCTGTAAAGCTTGTCTAACCTCACGACAGTATGGCAAAACGCATTTGTAGGCAGAGCATGAATGGATGATGTGACAGGAGTGTAACACATTTGCAAAGAGTGCTGCCATGAGTTTCTCTAAAAACAAACCTTTTTAAGTCAGATCACTTTGTAATGACAAGATATACAAGGATGATTCACTGTGATTTAACTTGGCTGGGCAATATTTATAAAATTCAATATGACAGTATTCTATATATATCATGGTGTCAAGGTATCAGATGATAATTAAGTTAATAAAGTTAATGAGCCTATGCTTCCTAAGGGCTGCTACTCTACTAAAATAATGTCTTATGAGCCTGACAGAGCTTGTTTTGTTCTCCTAAAATTACACTAAGGGGAAGTGTACACATACATGTAAATGCTTTTCATGCAGAAAGCACATTCCCAGAAAGAAAACCTTTTTTTGTTTTAATATTTTGAAATTCTCTTTCAAAATGTTGCACTATGCTGTTATATTTAAGCAGTTCATTTAAATGGGAACAGGACTAGATTCATTCATTTTATGTGTTCAATCATTGCATATATTCAGTAATAAAGCTTTTGTAATGCAGAATAAGTGGGCTCAGTTTTCCTCTTACTAACTGAGGAAGACCATAACAATGGCAATCCATGCATTTGACATTAGATGAATAATGTGATGACATAACCGACTGACATGACAAATGTAGTAGACGAATGCAGGTACTGTATATCAAAACAGAGAAGCTATAACCACCTTTTAAGCACTGATTTGTGGGAATGTGACCAGTAACTAAACCACAGCACTGACAGCATTTTCATGAATGATATCCATGTCCTCTCTCCAGTAAAAGGATGGATTACTGTGATGAATTACTGAAAGCGTGTGCAGCCTGCTATACCTGCCAAACCATAGAGTCTGCACTTCACAGATGAAATAATTAGAAATAAATGTCAGTTATACTTTATTCTACCCACTGCTCTAAAGTACAACATGCATACAGGCATTAACAAAGGATACCACTTGAAAGACGTTATTATGGATTATATTTACTGCAAGAGAGTGAGAGCCGTCTTTAAAGTGAGTTATCTGACCAGGCTTTAAGATTTATTAATAATTAGCTAATGGCTGCATATAGCGAATTAAAAGGTTTTGCTTGCAACCACATATGTTGCTCCCACAAACACACACACACACACACACACACCCACCCACACAGACCTTTTCCACACTTCCACTAGAATGAAATACCGGCATGTTCCGAATATTGCTTCTTTAAACAGCTTACATAAGGGGAAAAGGTAGGCACAGAGTTTTTAATATCAGTAATGATAAAGAACAATCGCACTCATCTTTCCCTCTACAGTCTTTAAAACCTGTGGATTATGTTTACTACCCCTGATAAACAGCCTAGACAACCAGACAGATAATAGAAATATGCTCCAGTCTCGTCACGTTCCAGGTAAGTTACTATTTATTAAAAGGTAATGTGCTGAAAAAGGCAGCAGGATAAAGGCTCTTCAGTGCTCCAGGCTGAAGCACTGCCTGAATGCTTTTGGTAATGATTCACATTTCTTAGAAGGCTGGAAGTTTAGAAAAAAAAAGCAATTAACAAGCTACTTAAACACCTTACAGCAAACCATTAAGAACATAATTTGAATCAATCCATTGTATTATCGATTTATTTAATTTTTTAAATAATAGCCAAGGAGGGTGAGCTGCTCACCGCAGTTCAACCCTGCTTTTTTAAAACACTAGTGTGTGATAAGCTGCTCACACCTGATTGCTTAGCCTGGCAGAAACCTATTAAACTGAGCAGAAAAGCAAGAACTTCTGACAGGAGTCTCAATGACTCGATGAAAGTGCTGAATTGTGTATTTGAGAGTGTTTGAATGAGAACAAGGATCAAGAGAAAGAGCACAGGCAAGAGAGAATGAGAAGACTCCAATTTTCACCAGTTCTTATTGGTGTTTCTGACCATGTGGGTGCCCCAAAAAGTCCTTTAAAAAAGTAAACCTGTTTTGAATAGCCAATCAGATCACAGTGTTAAGTAAGTTAGGGCACAAGCTTGAAATAACCAGTTAGAGCACATGCTGTGTTCATGACTAAGTGGTAGTTCAAACAGCCATTCAATTCATAATTCCCTCTCAGAAGGAGCTCTGACATGGCAGTGCCCATAGAACAAGAAGTACTGCACAACATATTGTTTGGGGAAGGCTGGGGAACAGTTGCTTGACTGCTGGGCTCAAAATTGTCACAAAAGCACCAGTTCCAAATAAAAAAAAATGCATGTCTCAGACTGTCTTGAGTATTGAAAGAGAGAGACAGGGTGTCCCAAAAAATTGACATCATCACACAAATTGACGTGTGTGTGTATATATATATATATATATATATATATACACACACACACATATATATACACACTCACACCCACACCCCCACACACCAAGCATATAGGTGCACTTTGTAGTTCTACAATCACAGACTGTAGTCCATCTGTTTCTCTGCATACTTTGTTAGTCCCCTTTTATCTTGTTCTTCAGTGGTCAGGGCCCCCATGGACCCTCACAGAGCAGGTACTATTTGGGTGGTGGATCATTCTCAGCACTGCAGTAACACTGATGTGGTGGTGGTTTGTTAGTGTGTGTTGCACTGGTCTGAGTGGATCAGACACAGCAGTGCTGCTGGGGCTAACAAAGTATGCAGAGAAACAGATGGACTACAGTCTGTAATTGTAGAACTACAAAGTGCACCTATATAGTAAGTGGAGCTGATAAAATGAACAATGAGCGTAAAAACAAGGAGGTGGTCATAATGTTATGCCTGATCTGTATGCATGCATATATATATATATATATATATATATATATATATATAGATATATAGAGAGAGAGAGAGAGAGAGAGAGAGAGAGAGAGAGATTGACTGATTGATTGATTGATTGATTGATTGATTGATTGTGTGTGTGTGTGTGTGTGTGTGTGTGTGTGTGTGTGTGTGTGTGTGTGTGTGTATATATATATATATATATATATATAAAGAGGGGAAGAAGTTAGACAGGGAGAGATAGAGACAGAGATATAGATAGAAAGAGATAGACAGTAGGTATGTATGCATATATATATATAGGAATAAAGAGGGGAGTTAGAAGGAGTTAGACAGGGAGAGATAGAGAGAAAACAGACAGGAAGAGAGGAAGGATAGAGTGCATTTGCATTTACAGAACAAAAATACACATCTGTGGTTATTTGGTTACATTTTATTCTATGTACAGTAATTTGTTATAAATATAATACATCATTTTTGTCTGAAAAGCAGTCATGTAGATACATTTAAATAACAGCTGAATCAGATGAGGGCAAACAGTGAAAGGTGGAGGGAAGGAGAAGATGATTTGTTTTGTAGAAAATAATTTTTACTGTGAAAACAACACAGTCCACCCAACCCTCACGCACAGTCACACAGACCCACACACAACAGGCAGTGACTCTCGGCCTCTTCCACAGACTGCCGCACTGCCTCAGTGGGCAACGGTCCTCCTGCTTCCTCAGTGAGTGCCACAGGTTCTTCTGCTCCCTCATTGGGTCACACATACGTCCCGGTGGCCCATCATTGGCTCTGACAGCTTGTGCAGGCCCTGCTTATTGGATAAGTAATGTCCTAAGGTCCTTTCAAGCAGGTACAACTGTTTCTGCAGCAGTTCAACATGTTACTGCCTTTAATTATCCAGTTTTAAGATTCCATGTGGAGAGATGGTCTTTGTTACTGTGGTAACAAAGCACTGTAGCTGAAGCATGGGCAGTGCGGGGAGCCTTAACACCTTATTAGGTCTACACAGGTTTATACTTTTAAGCATTGATCTGGGTAAATAATCCATCAGTACTCTACAAACACCAAATTTGATTAAAATAGTTCAACTGAAATGATACACTGCTGACATAAGATATACCAAAAGAGCCTCTCATTTCAAGTCCATGATTCTTTGCCCTAGGGCTTTTATTTGTGTTTGACCATCTCACCAGAGTTCACGAGCACATCAGATGCAGAATTTAACTGAAACTTACTAAACTTTGTTTAATGCTCCCCCCAAGTTTCAGGTTTGTTCTTTTTACTAAGTAGAAAACGGCAGCAGTCTGGTAGAATCTGGATGCTGTAGGGTTTGGGTGGAGAGTGGTGAGTTGAGGCTGGGGCAGCAGCAGGCCACAGCACTGACTGGTGGCTCACATACTGTTGATGATGATGAGGGCTGGCATGGCGCTCTGCTGGCTGGTCTCACACATCGTGCCCGACTGTGCCAGCTTGGCGAACACCCGTGGTGTGCCCAGGTTGTACACGCCGGCCTGGAAGAAGCAGGCTTTGAGGGAGAGCCGGTGGACCTCCTGTGGCCGCAGCTGCAGCTTATACTGCGTCTGTCCCAGCCAGGTAAACGAGCCATGCACCTCCAGTGACTCCGGGCTGAAGAAAAGAGAGTTAGCAGTCAGACAGAGGTGCATAAGTCACTCAGTGTGTGCTTGTAGTTTTTTTCAAATATCAGTTCAAATGCTCTGGCTTTCAAAAATTTGGGGACACTGCCTTCTTTTGTTTGTAATGTTTTTTTCCTCATGGCTACGTTAAATTAAGTAAGAAGAAATACCTGCAGTATTAACTAGGTATAATAAAAATAATAGGGCAGTTTTAACTAGGACTGTAAACATTTAAAATACTTAATTGTGATTAGTTGTATGATTAGTTAGTTTCCAGCACAGTTTGGTAGTTTCCCTGCTGGTAAATCACCAAACTGTGCTGGACACCGGCCCTCCAGGACCGGAGTTGTGCACCCCTGGTATAGCTTGTGATTCATGTTACAATGGAGACTCTCGAAAAGAAGTGCAGCTTTCCACTTTGCTATTTTTTGTCAGTTTGTTGCTCTTTGATTTATCCAATGGTCATCCGTTGCACTGTCTTTGTTGCTTGTTCAATTATCCATAGGCCATCTATTGAGTACTGCCCAGCAGAGTCTTGTAGCAAAGGTATTGCTTTTAAAAGTCCTTCTAAAGTTGTGTTTGAATAAGAAATCCACAATTACGGATTCTATCATAGCAACATACTGTGCACAAGCAGCTGGGCTTCAGCCTGCACTAGACCAAACGGTTCAAATGACCAAACTAGAAAAATGTGTTAACATGTTACTTTATCAAAAACATTTTGAAAAGCTATGTCAAACTTTTGACAGTCTATATCAGATCAGATTAGCAGATTACCTGGTAGTTTTGTGTCGCAGGTCAATGATGACATCTACCTGAGCCAGGGAACAGTTGGACAATGTCAAGGTAACTGGAACCATGCATAAACTGAGAAACAGACAGACCGACACAAAAACAGAAAGAGAGAGAAAAGATAGTAAACACTTTTGCAGAAAGGAAAAACAGCAGGTTCATATAGTGCAGCCTTTGGAAGACAACAAGATACTTAATGTGCGAAGTGTTTCCCTTGTCTGAAGAATTAAACAATAAAAACAAACGAGCAGAGCTGTGAATTCCTTTAATTCCCCACATTTTCTATTCACTCAGTCTGAGCTGTTGAAATTGGCCTACATGACATGCTTTCTCTAACAGCTGTGCTTTGGGAATTTTCCTAGAAATATGAATGCCTCTCAGTTAAAAGTAAATAAATAAACAAGAGATCTTGATTCTTCAGTGAAGAAAAGGCAACAAACCCTGTCACTGCCTGTTTATTTTAACACACAAGGCATATTTAGAGTTCAGAGGTTCTTGTGGTTTTCATGGCAGCAAAATAAGTCTGTTAGGGAGAAACGAGGGATCCAAGGAATTGTGGTTATGCATGACCGAAATAAACAAAAATCTGCCCTAACTACTAATGTATGTACAATCATTTGGAGTAATTTGTAATGTAACCTATGCTGGGACAAGAACAAGAACGACCAATATCAAAGGTTAACAATCCGTACCTCCATCTACAGCTCGACTTCTTAAATTAAGAATTAAACAGTTTAAATTTACCTTTCATTAATTGAGATTTTGAGTATTTAATTTCAACTTTGCTGGCATCAGCTTTAATGACATTATGTGACTACAGGACTGGATCTGAAACAGCTCTGGCTATAACCATTCATATTTGCACAGGCTTGCCTGTTTGGCGTGTGATATTTTCTGTCACCATTTCCAGTTGTTTCTTGGTTGCTCTCTCTTTATAGATGTGTGGGTGTACTTACGTGCATGTTTGTGTGGGGAGAAAGAGGAATAGAGAGAGTCAGAGAGGAATGAAGCGAAAGGTATGAGGGATGAGTAAAGATGATGCAGCGCTCGTGGAAGGTGGCGTGGCCTGGACCCACTCTAATTCATCTCCATAATGACATGTTGTTTGCCCGTACCGCAGTAAAAGTAGGCCAGACAAAGTGGCCTGTGTGAGTGCATTACCCTCTCTAGAGAAATGGGCAGTCATAAGTACTTTCTAACTTTAACCTATTTTCCCTCCTTACTAAGACATCAGCTGATTAATTCTTGATGTTTTGAAATCAATCTCCATTGTTTTTAGTAATATGCACTATATTTGCCCTTTAGTGGACATCAATGTATAATAGCTTTTACAGTGACTTTGAGAAAATTCAGACCCACTTTAGTAAGATCTAAAAGCACACGTACACTGTTTTAGCAGGCTAATTAATATCAATTCAAACTTAGGTTGAGGATTGTCTTTTTTCCATACATCAGCTTTGTTTGCGTCTGTGACCTTTATGCAGAGTTTCCCTTTGGTAACAGCATTATCTTGCCACAGTAAACAAACTTAAGCTACCGTAAGTGAACATGATTGCGAGTGCAGCTGAGAAGCGAAATTCAGTACTTTTAAGGTACCGACCAATTACAAAATTCCATTTCATTCAATACCAAATGTCAATACCTAAGTAATTAGTCTCATCAGCGTCTGTGAGGTAATAAGCATACTTGTTCCAAAATCTAGGCTGGTGGTCAGCTATCTAAATCTCATTGTAGCATGTTATTAAGATCAGCGCTTATCAATTAGTCTGCAATCCGTTGTGGTCAGTAAATCTATAAATTTCAAGCACTCATTTCTGGTTTAAGCCAGAACCACTTTCAGTTTGGAATTTAAAAGAAGGTTTCAAAATATTATTCAGGAATCTGTATCCAGGTCAGGGTAAGTATTGGTATCAGTATGAAAAAATTATGAGCCATAAAGTGGGATGAGACGACTTGAGGACAGAGAACCACAGGAAAGGCAGGGTGATCTGTGATGCAGCATGCACTAACTAAAGTACCATCATGTCCATGTCCACTACATTCTTGGAAACGGTTTATTTAATGCAATGTGTGTGTGCTGGGTAGCTAAAGTGTAAGTGAGAGGTATAACACTGCTATACAATACAGAGATGGAGACTCGTGTCGCATGTTGACCTGACTGACACGTGTGCTTAACTAACCCTTGACTCGGACTAGCACAAACAAAACTGATTGAATTAGGAACAGCAGTCTTGATGCGGGAAACTGATAAAACCTTTTTTGCCATTCAGTTTTACTATGATCATACACAATTTTGGGGGTTGAAGACATTGCACTATGGATACAGTAGTGAATTTTCATTATTACTATGGCAACTGCAGTCAAGATGCTATGATACAAAACACTTTTTTTCCCCTTTTTCTTGTTGGCATATATTTTTTTTGTCTAATATGTAAACTATCTGCAATAAATGGCAACTACTTCATCAACCGTCCAGTCCAACTTCTCCTTCTGTAAAAGAGAAAGTGTGAAAACATGGGCATTATCCCAGAGCAGCAGGAAAGTTCAGCTCACTCTGGCCCTGAAGCTTGTTATAAGAAAAGCTCCCCCTGAGTTGCTGCGACTATGGGCTGAAAGCAGAAATCAGAAAAGGTGAACAGAAGTAGTCAAATGCTGTTCTCCTTGCAGCACGCAGCTGCGTCAGGTTCAGTATCACTTCAAATAACAAGTCTTTCATTGTAGAAAAACTTTGTCTGAAGGGCAGAACCTGACAGATGCAGCTAATAACAAGACTAACATTCTCTACTAAACACTGAAGATTCAACTCAAACTCATAACTCGACTGGAAATCACACCTCAGAGACTTAACCTGAACTGAAAAACGACTGGTGAACATCTCTGCAAAATACCGACATATCAGTAAGAGTGAGCGTGCCCTAACAACTCAGTGTGGGTGTGTGCCTCACCTCTTCTGTGGGAATGGGTGGTCGTAAGACTCAGGGTAGTGCAGACAGGTCTTGATGAGATGAGAAAGCTGTTCCAGCGAGGGTCTGCTGACAGGAGGAGGAAGATCAGGCTTAAACTTCAGCAACACCATCTCTTGAGCTTCCTGAAACACACACACACAAACGTACAGTTGTGTGAAAAATATGACAATTACCGGAAAAAAAAGATATCACATTTCCTTCTGACCCCAAAGTGTTGCACTAAAAGAACCTGTACCATATTCTAGCCTCTTCTTTACTGTATACTTTTTGAGACCAAAAGACTTTGGTACTTCCATGCGTATCTCAGCAATCTTCAGGCTTGCCTCCTTTATGTGAACTTGGGTAAACAATTATTAGAGTTCAATTACAGTACAATTACAGTTCCATTATTATTCATTAACATACAAAAACAGTATTCCAACAATTAAGCACTATTCAAGCTGGACTGGTTTTAAAATATACACTAATGTATAGTTACAGGTCATTCACTCTGGAATGATAAGCATTTATATATATATATATATAGCTTTCATCTTTGAGAGAGAGGAGAAAAACAAGCTCCACTCTTCTTTCAGACCTGAAAAAATCCACGGGTGTTTCTGTCCATCCTTCCACTGTGAGAAGACAGTTTAATGCTGTGGGTCTGAAAGAATGTGTAGCCATTAAAAAGCCATTACAGAGAAAAGGAAATGGACAGAATGAAGTGTATTTGCACTAGAACACTAAAAGGGGGCATTGAGATATGAAGGTTTTATGGACTGATGATTCTAAAATGTATAATAATGGATAATTCCTGGAAAAACTGAAAGCAAGTCTCACAAAAAAAAGAATGGAAGCTGTAATAAAGGCAAAGCGACAGTAAATACTGAAAAAAATCTGTATTTAGTTGTCGAGGCGTCTGTGTAATTTTCTGTTGAATATATGTTTTAATCTCCCCCTCACTGAAAATGTAATGACTTGTACTTAATGGCTTACTTAATAAATGAAAGGGTGGTCTCTGACTTTTGCACAGTAATGTACATTTGGCATAGAACAGAAAAATTGGCAAGTTATAAATAACTAAATGATTGTTCAGTTGAGCACAGTGACTGTAATATCCTAATACTGTAACTCCACTGTTTTAATAAGAATCATTCTCTTGTTCCGGTGCTTAACATTTAAACTCCTGTGAAAAATCTGCTCACTCACTGTGTTCAGAAAAAGAGGGGGATGCAGCTTCTCGTACGTGTGTGTGACGAACGAGCAATAAAACTGCAGCGGCTCACGTGGCACGACTGGAACAGCATGTGTGACGTGATTCCCTCACGTGAGGGACTTCCTTTGGTGTGAATGAGTGTCTACGGTGACTGTTGCTATGCAACCGTGTGCAGAGAGGAGAAGTGGCAGACTAAACGTAGCCTGATTTATTCGGGCTGGGGGGACGAGCCTAATGAATGAATGAATGAATGAATGAATGAATGAATGAATGAATGAATGAATGAATGAACAAAATATTTAATGTGTAAGGAAGAAGGAAAATGTTGAAACACACAAATAGATGGGGGAATAGTGAAGGAGATGTGTTGGAGAGAAATGTGAAAGACAGAAGGAGTTGGTGGGAGGGCATGTGGAGCAGACATCACTTTACTGCAAGTTACTTATAGAGTGCAAAGACAATAAAGTAGTGCAGATTAAGCGTCAGCACCAATACGGATGCTTATTTTAGGCTGTCATAGTCAACCTCTTACATATGTACACGTGCCATGAACATACTCACTACCCCTGGGCTGATATCAGCAAATGCTGAAATAATTTAAAAGGGCCAGCACAGTATTTTTCTGCCTTACTTAAAATGTTCGCAGTATGTGATTAACTTCATACTTCTGCTTTAGTCTGACTTTTATTGGGCATAAAATGATCTCTACATTTTTTTTTATTTTCAGTATACTGCCCCCTAACCACCGTTTAAGAATAACACATTATTTGGCATGATCTGCGACATCACAGATAACACTAATTGACTACAGCGAATCATAACTTACCTTATACTGAATATTCATGAACTCTAAAATCAACTGACTGCCCCACACTTCACACGCTCCACACCGCTCTACTTGAGTAACGCTGTGGCTACTAGAAAATGGCACGTTTACAAATGTTTAGTTTTTGGATGCAAGAAGGAAAATGAAAATTTGAAATTCGGGCTCAGTACAGCTCCAAATTTGCCATTTTAAATAATGGTCATCATTTTCATGCTACACTCCTCTTGAATGTGCGCACCACAGGCCAGTATTCAGCAGCCAGAACTTTCTCCAAAAGGGGAACTATTCAAGTTCATTAGCACTCAAGTACTTTTTGACTACAGCCCTCCGAAGAGTGTTCAGACATGCTGTTTAACAGATACGAAAGACACAGGAGTCTTAGAAAACGTGTGCTTAAACTTCCTCAAAGCACAGATCTTTTAAAATCTTTACGTAGTCATGTGTTTTCATAAGTAATGTAACTGGTTTACTGAACAAATTATCAAGGTCATGCTTCAACCTGAGTGACATAACAGTAGGTGAACAAATCTCATTCAGTATTTATGACTGCATATTATTTCAGTATTTGATACCAGTTTATCTTGCTTTATAGGGTCATTTCACAGCTAAGAATACGAGAATTATGTTGGTGTCTAAAGGGTTTAAAAACAAAACATAAAACAAAACAATTATTTGATTAATTGGTAAAACAACTGCTAGATTACTTGATTACCAATACAAAAGACAGTGACAGCCCCACATGCAAATGGAACAAATAAAACTCCAGTACATGAGATCTACTCTCTGGAAGAGTAAAATGGACAAGATTGTCAACATAAAGGGTGCCAACACACCAGTTCATCAATATCTTGGTTCACAACCAAACAAATGCAAGTTAACAGTGATACAAATATGAATACCTTCAGTGTGCACTACAAGCTACCTAAATTAAAATGAGAAATACAACTTAAAATAAAATAGACCAAGATAAAATAGAGATAGACAGCATATTTACAGAGGAACAACTATGCAAGGCGCAATACCGCCTTAGGTGCATATAGACATGCCAGTGGTGTGAGTATGTGCAAGTTCTGGAGTGGGGGGGGTGCATGTTATCTGTGCAGAATACAGTTATCAGTGTACATTATTAAGTAATATAAGCAGCTAACTCAGTTGGTAAATGTATGGTATGCTACTATCAGGAACAATGCAGGCTATAGGGTAAGGCTCTGTAACAGGTTACACATCATAACTAAATTTGGATCACTGGGATATCACACAGCGTGACACTCTGCAGACCACAATCGCTTGTCTGAATTTTCCATTACTGTCTAAACTTAACACACACACACACACCTTTCAAAAACAGCTCTCTGTTCACACGGTGCCGGCTACCATGTGTTCGGTCTGAGGAGCATCGTGTTGGGATTCCCCCACAGCACCAGAACGTAACTCTAAATGTTGAGTCACGACACACAGCTCTTCACGACTGCACTCCCACCGAACATTCTGCTCAAACAGCCTGCACGAGACTGCGTCGAGGTGGTTAACATTGCTGCAAGCGAAATGAAATCAAATAAAAATCCCCTCACACGCACACTCTGACAACATGAGTGATTTATCGCTGTCAGCCAGATGAACTCACTCACAGCGCTACCACTGCCTCCCTGTGGACAAGAGTTTTAAAAGTTTGAATGCAAGCACAGGGAAACTCACCATCTGTGAAGTGTACACACATGGATTTGCATGTTGCCAATGGATGAATGAATGATGAATGAATGAATGAATGAATGAATGATCACTTAGTGCTGGGCAATAAGGATAACTAAATATCTCAATATTTTCTGAGGATATCATGCTATCAGATAACAAAATCTGTCTTTCCACACCTCCAAAGTTCAGTCTTAGAAGCTGGCTGAATGTGTTTGGGATAAGAAACATTATCCACATAATCCCAAACCCACTCTGGGGTGATCAATCCACTGTTCTAAGAGCACCAGCAGCATCTTAGTTGGATTTAGACGAAAAGGTTTTTTTTTTTGTCTGTTTTCTTTTCTCAGTAACAGCTTCTTGATAGCTACACAACACAAGTTTTAGTGGCCTATATCTCTTATTAATATTATTTTAACTTCAGTTCAGGAAACTTATTTTCCTTTGACTTTCCCCTTTCCTTATGCAAGTCGATTAAATAAATGAAAGGTGGCGTCTGACTTTTACGAAGTCCTGTAGCTTGTTTTATGTGACACCTACACTGGTAAGTCAGAACTGACGATACACACTGGCTCACTACTGCTTTGGCTGCAAATGAACATGATGCATGTCTGTCCGCAGCAACAGAACCCACAGAGTCCTCTAGCCAGTGTGTCTCCATCCTGCATGTATGCCTGGGTGTGTCTGATTGAAATTCAGAATGAGGCATTCCAGTTTTGCGAGTCAGAATGCCAATGCTAGCTCCCGCTGTTCCTGATCATCTAAAGCCCCTTAAGAGGCATCCATCTTCATAAACATGAAGCACAAACCTAATGCTCTCAAAGTCACTCTGAGACTCCCTTTACAGACCCAGAGTGAAAACAATAAAACAAGAGATGCACCAGCCCCATTTATTTCTTTTCCTGCACTTTTACTGAAACTTTATGACATGATATCACACATTTGAGTGTAATAGTCAAAATCAGAAGCCAGAGTGGGGAGAAGAGGAAAGAAAAAGGGAGGGAACGAGAGGAAAAGAGAGGGGGGGACAGAAGAGGAAAGAACAGGATAGTAGAGGAGAAAAGGAGGAGAAAAGAGAGGTGAATAGAAAAAGAGGAGAGAAAAAACGTGTGGAGAATAGCAGGGAAAAGTGAAGAGAAAAAGAGAGGAGGAGAAATAAGAGGGCAAAAAGAGGAAAAGAGAGGAGAGCAGAAAAAGAGAAGAGCAGAGGAGACGAGTACGAAAACAGGAGAGGAGAGCAGAAAGACAGGAGAAAGAGAAGGCAGAAGAGAGCAGAAATAGAGGAGAAAGAGAAGACAGGAAAGGAAAGCAAAAAGAGGGGAAAGAAGACAGGTGAGGGGAGCAGAAAATGAGAGAAGAGCAGAGGAGGGGGGAAAGGAGGTGAAAAAAAAAGAACAGAGGAGAGGAGAAAAATAGAGAAGAGCAAACGATTGACTGATACATTGATTTTAGACCTTAGAGAGGAGAGCTGAAAGAGAGGAACGGAGAAAACGATGGAAGAAGAAAGGAGAGAAAAAGAGACAAGAGGAGAAGAAAAAAGAGGAGCAGAGGAGAAAGGACAGCAGAAGAGAAAAAGAGAGGAGAAGTGAGGAGAAAAGAGAGGAGAGGAGAAAAAGAGAGGAGAGAGAAGACTGATGCGATGACTTTGGTCATTACATCATCAACATGACATCACTCTGCCTGCAACCTCATCAAAATGTCCCCTCTTCCAATGACATCAAGGCACTTTGAAGTCTGATATACTGTATATCATTAGAATAATGACAAAACTGACCTCAACCTTGTGAGCCAAGAAACAAACGTTACCTTTTAACAAAACCTGGAATGTAAAATGAGTCAGAAGCTTTTGAAGCTTGTGTTCAGAAAAGAGTCAGGAAGAAAGTGACAAAGAAGAGAATAAAATAAAACAATGCACATTCACTACAAAGGTGAAGACTTGCTCCATGCTCCTTGCACTAGTGGTTAAATGTTAGTTTCTTGTGGAGCTCACTGCAAGCAAGAAGCAAATGCTTCCAAAAGCAGAGTCCTTGACAGTGAGGAGGCTGTGTTGTTTTAGAGCACTGAGCATTCAAAAGCCACTTTAAGTTTTTCGTATTCAAGTGCAAATAAAAGGATGGAAATGACTAATATTTCCTTTGCACAGAGAGGCCACAGCAGTGAAGTGATTTCACTTTGATTCTGTGTCATTGTTTTCATTTGTTCATTTCTCCTTTCATAACATTCAACAGGCCACATCTCATGAGAACACAGAAGTGTTGCAGCAAATTTACAAGTCAATACAAGAAGTATGCAAAACTGAAGGCCATTTGGAAAAGTATGTTTGAATTACAATAGCGATGTTTTCAAATGGTTCATTATTCTAATCTTGGCCTACTCTCAGGGGAAGACACTTAGGTCCTCACCCCTATTAGCCCAGAAAAGGCACAATGCTTGCTTGTTCTGGCTGTAAGGAGGGGGGGGGGCAGTAGAGTTAAGGCCGATTTAATACTACAGAAATAGCTACAAATGTCCACCTAATATAAATGAACAGAACTATAAACCTTGCAGTAATAACTATAGCAAAATACTGACAGCTAGCACTTTCTTTGTGACACATCCACAATGAAAATGCACTTGACTGATAAAGGGTTTTATTTTGTGTTGTGAGGGAGGGATCTGTAGCCTGCCAGGCTGTCTGGTACTCGGCCAACTGAACACTTAACCTGCGTTTCAATGAGCACACCTTTGTGCCCTTGGCTAGGCATGTAAGAGGACGGTAAAGCGTTTTCTCCACACATGCACGCACGTCCATTAAAGGCACTGAAGAGACAGATTTGTCTACCCTACAATAAGCGATAAATTCATAAACTAATGTTAAGATCAATATGGAGCAACGCACACACAAACAAAAGGAGTGCGAGAGCCATTTTAACATCAAGCACTCCAGATTTGAATCTTTAACAGTTTATGCACACACTACACGGCTCCCTACAGACTGTGCTGCCATTCCCCACATCCTTACACACTATAAAGGCCTTTAGGCTACGTTCACATTACAAGGTTGAAGTGGCACAAATCTGATTTTTTGCCCTAATGTGACTCAGATCTGATGTTTTCAGGGCTGTGTGAACACGCAAATCTGATCTGACCTGATCCACTTTCATATGTGGTCCTAGATCAGATACGTATCCGATTCGTGGCCATACGACCTTAAAGTGACGCTCAGATCGGTATTCATGTGCTTTTTTCCCACTGCGCGTGCACCATCATTCAGCAGTACCATGGCAGCAGCGCCGAAATGAAGTCAGCGGTTCGTTCAGATTAATGACAGATTTGAATAACTTACCTAAATTAAAGTATATTAGAAATACTCCCTTTTACATAGGTGCAATAATCTCATGTGCAATACCATAACTGCTACATTCTTTTATATCCACTCTTCATTTTACTTATTTTACTTTTAGAATTTTATTTTAAATTATTTTTCGTTTTAGTTGTTTAATTTTCTATTTTTACTTTTTGAAATACTTTTAAATTATATAGTCTTTCTTTCAATGTCTTGCATTTTATACTTTACTTTTTTTATACTCTACTTTTTAAATATTTTTTGCTTTATTCCTAGTTTAATCTATTTTTTTGTTTATGCACCGTTAGGATTGCCACCCAATTTCATTGTACCCTGTGCAATGACAATAAAGAATCTTGAATCTAAGTGAGCGTCAAACATTGTGTCAGAGAGATCGGATTTGAGCAAAAAAAGCAGATTTGAGCAATGAGGTTTGTAATGTGAATGTAGCCTCAGAGGCTGACTGTGGCTTATTTGTGCAATTTATTCATGTATTTAAAAAATATTATAAATCACATTTGAACATATGTATAACTGAGATATCTTGCACAGCAAATGGGATTTTTTTGCCCCATTATTTTATTCACCCACTGTTTATTTTCTTGAAGTTGCAGGCAACAATATCTCACTGACTGATCACCGTACCATTTATGGTGTTTGTATGGTGACGACCAAGATGACAGACTGGCTGCGTCCCAGCACTGAGAAACATGAATAAGATTAGTTTGTCTTTTTCTTTATTATGTGTGGTGCTGCATCTTCAAAAGCAGCTCAGATTAAGTTACAGATACCTGAGCTATGTGAAATTACTTTCAGCTCCTGAATGAAATAGTAAAACTTTGTTCTCCTTTCACTTTTCCAAAACAGAAAGGAGATTATCAGATGGCACAGTCTGCCCATTCTCTGAAGAGCAAATATTGTCTTCTTGTGTTTGAATACATCTAGCCCATTGGTTCTTTTTCTGTATTTCAAAAAAAACAACACATTGTGTCTGGTGTGCATAGCTTTGATGTGAAAACACTGCATATAAATATTCAGCATTTTTGAGCTGTTTATTCCTGCTGCATTCGGTGTGTAAACAGTATTAGGCACTAACATAAAATTAGACAACACTTTAAATAAATCAACAGAAGAAGTGTGTATGTGTGTGCGCGTGTACATGTTGGAAAGTCTTGCAGACACACCTCTTTCTGTGAGAGTGAGCAGGCCTCTTTGCCGATGGTCTGCAGAGCCACATGGAGCTGCCCCTCTAAAATGAGCTGCTTGTTGTCCTCTACCACATAGGCCTGCAATGACAGCAGCACAGAACATCAGACAAAAGGAGAGGTAAAGATAACAAACCAAAAGCACACTGACAAACGCCCAATTCAGCCATTTCTCTGTTTGTGTATGGGGAAGCTAGTCTTCTTTGCTAGGATTAGAACCAATTCAACATGGCTGTATGCTAGGAAAGGGTGTACAATATCAAAAAATACAACCTGAGGACACTTAAACGCACTTTCACGATACATATTGTAGCTGTCAGAACAAAACTTGTATTTCAATTTCAAGGCGAACGGAGCAAAAAAAAAAAAACATTTAAATCACTTATTAAAAAATTGTTACGTTAACGTACATTGAAAGATAAAGTTTATCCTTCTTCTGCAAAGTTACTTTTTTTGGAGGTTTTGTTTCAACAGTGACAATAAGCATCATAAAAGTTTTGCTTTACTATAGTTGCAAACAAGTTGGAATGGAGAAAATGAAAAAAGGATGTGAAAAAATATTTCAGCTAATAACAGAAGAAAAAAGTTGTAAAAATAGAATAAGATAATAGGCTGATAGCTAATCAGCTACTTCTTGTTTTGCAATTTATGCAGATATTATACACTGGTTGTTATTTTAACTTTCTATAATTGACTGTATTTACATTACAAGCAGATATTTAGCGTTCTACACTGCGTTCTACAAAACAAAGGTGCCAACAAGGGTTCTTTGAACAACCATAGAACAACACCTTTGGTTCCCCAAAACCCTTTTAATGAATGGTTCTCTAAAAAAACAATTTAGATATGCGAGTCTGAAAAACCTTTCAATTAAAAGAACCTCCACATAATGTAAAGTTTCTCTGAAGAACTCTTAATTCAGTATAGAACCTTTACATTATGTGAACGTAATGTAATGTGGTTTTCTGAACCTTACAAAGGTTCTTTAGATACAGCTGTCTTTTTCAAACAAAGTTCTTTAGTGAACCAAAAGTGTTGCTTCTATAGTACTGCTCAAAGAACCCTCTGAGATACCCTCACTTTTAAGAGTGTAACAACTTGTAAATTGAATCTGCAGACATTTAGGGTGGAAGCAAAAGATCATAATAGAAATGCACCACCTTCCAGAGCACGATGATGTCGAGTTCCACTTCACTGCATTTCCGAACAATACTGGTCATACTGTCATCAGTGCTGCTTGCTGGAGTGAGGCTCTGCCTCCTCAAAAGACCCCCTACTGTGATCACACCTCCTTTCCTGGGCTCAGAGGGCGGACCTCTCCGGAAAAAGAAGTCTGCACAAGGAGTCGTAGAACTGACAATCTAGAGAGAGAGAGAGAGAGAGAGAGAGAGAAAATGAAATAAATGAAAAAAAAGAAGAAAAAAATATTATAGGCCCCAATAAAGCATGAAAAAAGAAGAGACACAGGCCAAGTGCAATTTCTATGATAAGAGAGCTGAAAAACACATTACATGCACATAATTAGGTTTTAATGACAAAAGGTACAAGAGCAACAGGGGCCTAGAGTGTAAACATACTTAGGTTAAGCTCACTCTACAGTGGATCAAACTTTTTTTGTGTAACACTATGAAAGTTCGTACAATTTTTACATCATCTCAACTCTTCACTATAATTCTGCGCTGTCAGGAATAGATTCTTACAGCCATGTCATCAAAATGCCTGTTACTATGATTATGCTCTGCATTTTTCATGCTGGAGGACCGGCGAGACAACCTAAGTAAATAGGTTTTGTCTAACAGGAAAAAAAAAATAGGTTTCCTTCAAGGATATATTGAAAGAAAAAAGTCCAAAAGATCTTCACACACAACAAGCCTCTTAATTTGACACGTATAATAACTGAATTTATGTCTTTTTGCTATTCATGGCAGAAAAATGAATCAAACTCAGAATCTTGTTTACTTTATTTGATTGACTTCTACAATTACAACAAGCAGCTCAAGACAAGCACAACAAGAGTAAAACAACCAGTTGTTTTATTCTTTTCTATGAACTTTATGTAATGTCTGTGTTTTAGTGTCTATTGTTTGTCCTCCAAGTTTGATGTAGCAGTTTGTGCATTTGACACCATGTGAAAGGAATCTATTAAAAGTGGACTGCTGTGTTTACTGGATGAGGATGCCAGGTGGACCGTTCTTACAAAGATAAAAAGATAAAAGATAATGTGAACAACCAAAGAAAAAAAATATACCAGATTTGGTCAGTAAATCAGTTTTGGACCACTTTTACCTGCAGTGTGAACCAAGAGTGGAAATGGACCGGAACACACTGGAAACCCATTCCGAAGTAAAAGTCGGATGGAATGGTGTTTCGGTCAGATTTTGGAAATTTAGGCAATTATTTTTATAATGAACCCATGTATAGTAAAAGTAATTTTCACTTCGATGTTATAAATATTTTTTATATTTTTTGACGATTCACATGTTTATCGTTGGAAATTTCAGTGGGTGAGCTCAGTTTAAAATGTCCCTGACAAATTACCACATTAGCCAATGCAACTTGAGTGAATGGTAATACACAGATACACAGCTAACTTTCAGCTTTAAGAAAAAATGGTCAGACGCCTGATGTAAGGTAGCAATATTAAGCTTCTAAGAATTAAGAAAACATTCATGCTTTCAGCTCGTGAAACATCCTAGTATTTTTCATACAGGAATTACACTAGATTAAAGCATACATTGGTTGATTAAAAAAAATCTATGACTGAAAATGATGTTTTTAAGGTATACTTAAATGTGAAAATGTGCCAGAGACAGGCACTTTAGGATATTTTGTGTTCCCCTAGTAAAAACTGGCCATTTCCACCCCTGGTATGACCATAGCTTTAATGTTGCAAGCCTGAATTCTGGCTATGGCTAAAGAGTGTTTCGTTTTGTCATTTAACATGGCTGAGAACCACCTACTTTGACAGGAAAGGGCCATTTGACTGACTTGTACACCAACCAACAACTTTGCAAACCCACATGAAAGAAACAGGTATGTGTCAGCAAACATGAGGATCTCATTTAGTGAAACTACTAAATGCTTCAAAGTAAACTCTTAAATTACTTTTAAAGATGTAATGCCATGAACGTTTTTCATTTCAGAAGCTATACTTTATTTCAAAAAGCTTCATGTTTTCATAGTGTACTGAGCAGGGACTGCCTAAAACTGGAACAGTGAAGTGCACACGGCTACAGTCTTCGCATCTTAGCACATATCTGAAGGTCTGCGTGCCTCTGTGGTCAGAGAGTTTGACTTGAAAAGGTCAAGTCTGGGTGAAAAACATCTGGGGACACAATGGACTTCACAGTAAGGGCTAAAGAATCAACAGTGTCATAGTATACCTGTTCATTGCCAAGATTTAGGTCAGCAAACGTGTATTTCTCCAGTGCGTCTGAGGTAGCTGCAAAAATAGAATATTAAATAGAGAAAATATGAGCAAAAAAAAGCCCCATACTGGAGCACAGCCAAGTACAATCTTTCTTACTAAGACAACTGAGTGACCACCTGCTTTCATTACCTGCTATCAGTAGGAAAATTATGTCTGCAGTACGTATAGAATTTTTACTGTTCAAAATGGTCATATTTCAGCATAAATGAACATAAAAAATGTACTATTTCAGATCATCATGGGCAATTTCTCTTGGTCGTTTGATCATTTAAAAGGCATCTGGCATTTTCAAATTACATTTAAAAAACTAAAATGACAAATGTTTTGTTAAGCCACAGGCAACAGCAGCACACTAATTGCTATTGTTCTTAATAATTGTCAGCTCACATTTAACAGTGCGCTGTATTTTAACAGCAGAGAGAGTAAAATGGTAGCAGACACTGATTAACAGACGACTGTGACTGATGAGCATAAATCTTTTTAGAACTGAAAGCTGACAACAGTAATTGAGAATAGTTGAACTGATGTGAACTGACTAGCAAAAAGGTGACACTGTATGTCTAACGTGCTAGCTATGATGAGCAATAATTAGCTAACAACTACATTTGATGAAGTGTAATTACCGTTAATTGACAGCACTTTGTGCATGAATCTGTCTTACCTTCCTGTGTTCTGCATCTAGTTGCCCTGAAGCACAGCTTCCCCCTCTCTCTGCTCGCCAGCTTGGAGTCTGCAAATCACAGCATACAAAGAACAAATGAATCAAAAAACAAAAATAAGATACACAAATAAGACACTCTCCTTCTCCTTTATTTGTCTGGCTGAAAAACCCTGACATAGGTTTGGATTCCCTACAGAAAACAAAAGCTCTCTAAGAAAACCTTTAGACAGCAAAAGCATTAGAGAGCAACATACACACACACGTGCCTGTGCAGACACACACTTATCTACTTCAGGCTCTGATGGAGTTTGCAGTTCAGTGAATTAATTATTCCATTCAAGGTCAGAGATTTTCTCTATTAAAGCATGTGTTTAAGTTGTCTAGAACGTCAGATGAAGTTACTGGAGTGCACATTTCCATTCTACTACTCATAGGTCAACACCAGCTTAGCACATGTTTAAAGGGTCCACATCTTACATTCTTTTGTATTTTATTATTTTCTCTGATGTCCATTTGTGTGGTTTTATGCTCCAAAATCTGGTAAAAGACCTTTGTTCTGATTGGCTGTCATTCAAAGCACAGTCCAGGCTGAAACACTCCTTATAACAGCTGAATAGGAGGGGCTAAACTGCTAGAGGCTGAATAGGTAGATGCAGATAGTCTGTTTTTTGTGACATCACACAAATAATTAATTTAAAAGGGGCTGTTTTTGAGGCATAGTTTCTATATATGAATATACAGACAGGGAATCAAAAGATAGATTGACAGTTGAACAAACTTGCTTGTTCAAAAAAGGGAGGAAAAATGGACTTTCCATGGTACGGACCTTTCAAGAACATACAAAATTTAAATGAGAGGCAAATGAGAATATCTGAGAATTAGTCATCTTGAAAATGAAATGCTGTGTCAGTGATCTTGTGATGCTCTGATGATTACAGTCCTAATTAAGATAATAAGCAGTAAGGGAGGGAATGACTTTAGGTCCCACGGTAATACCACAATATAATTCTGTTGTGATGTTTAAAGATCTGTGATGTGTTAAGTGTTGTGATACGGCACATTGTGATATATTGTGATTTATTAATTTAAACTGCAAATTATTCCTAACCAAAAAAAAAATATTAAATAAAAATTAAGTTTACATTTTGTTCATCCCACTCAATGACTTCCCTCATGTGTGGGGCGAGTGTGTTAACCACAAGACCACTCAGTTACAGATAGTAATTTTGGTATCACCATTAAGGAACTGTGCCATCTTGTGGAGTGAGACAGAAGTGCTTTTTGATCCATCACTGATGTGCTGAGGCAGCTAATGTTTGCTGTTTATACTAAGCCGATGTTGTTGAGAAACTAAACGGTTTAGCATGTGTAACCAGACAGCATAGCACACTGTCAATATACACCTAAAAATAATGTTTTCTTTTTAAATTATGAATATTACAAAAACCGCGGTCATGCTGTGTGTGTGAGTGAGAGAGAAAATGTTCCACTGTCTGGAAAGTGTTTGTCTTGTTCTGACCATAAAGAACAGTTTAAAACCACAATTAACCATCTGGTTTCTTCAACTTTCACTCAGTGCCATGTGCGTTTAAACATGAAAGAAATAATGATTGATATTGTGATAATTATCGATATCAACTGATATGGCCAAAACTGTTATCACAATAAAAATTTTCATATCACCCAGCCCTACTTTCTAATTCTAACCCAGGCAAACGGTGCTAAATACTGTTTTACATCCAAATTTGTGACGTCATTTGGCTCATACGCGTCTCAAACTCAGGCTTTCATCTACGAGCATCAGAGGCTGCTGGAATTTGGTGAATATTACAAGTTATTCATGTTATCAGTATTAGCTGAGAAGACAGAGCCTTCTGGCTTAAGGCAAGGACCAAGAGACCGCAGTGCTACATAAAGCAGTTGGCAGAGTGAGGGGCCCTGTTTTTACATTGTTTCCAAAATGATCTGTTCAGACTGCGGAGAGGTGGGAACACAGGTATGTAGATTTCTAAAAAACTCTGTCACATGCATCACCTCAGATATCAGAGCATTACTCACCAGAAAGAAAGAGAAAAAAAAAGTGTTGTGTTGTAGTAAGATCACTGTTTGGGGGATTACGGTTTATTTTTCTGTGTCCCTCAAAGAAAAAAAAGGAACAAAAGTTAAAAAGTGTCATGTGTGTAGTGAAATTGCCTGTCAATGACTAGTTGATTGTATTCATAAATGTATTTAAGTGTGTGAGAAACTGTTTGGCTTTTTAACTATGAAATAAAATACAAATACATTCTGATTCAGTGTGAAGTAAGTAGGGTTATCAGAAAAACTATATAACTTTTAAAAAAAAAGTCAAAGCAGATAAATCTAATTTTTATAGCACTTTTCTAAGACAGAGCTACAAAGTGCTTCACAATAAAATAAGTACATTACCTATGATCACAACTCAAAAAAGCTAGTGAATAAAAGTGATTCTTTAGCTTCTTCTTAAAAGAAGATATGGAGAGTCTGATATCAAGGGGGAGGACTGATCCAAAATTTAGGAGCACACATAGCAAATGCACAGCCTCTCTTTTGCTTCAGTTTAGTTCTAGGAACAACAAGAAGCCCTTTATTAGAGAGTCTCAGCGACCTTAATCAATCCTGAATTTCACTGGCAACCACTGGAGAGGACAGCACTTGGCTAATGTGCTCCCTACATCCAGTTTTTTGTTAAGAACCAAGCAGCTGCATTCAGGACCTACTAAAGTCTTGCCAAAGCTCCTTGACTAAGGCAAGTATATAAGGCATTGCAATAGTCTGAACAAGAGGAGACAAATGCATGGATAATTCTGTCTAAGACCTAAAAAGACAAAATCTGTCCGATCTTTGCAATATTCTTTTAGTTGGAAAAAACATGACTGAATAACTTTCTTAATAAGCAGTGAAAATCATTCTGATTAACGCACAGATACAACTGCGTATCATCTTCATATAAATGGAAAGAGATATTAAAACAGCTGATTAAAACTCCAAGAGGAAGCAAGTAGAGTGAAAATAAAATACAACCAAGAATGGAACACTGGGGCACCCCACATGTAAGATCGGGCACAGAAAACATATTTCCAACAGATACTAAACATTTTCTATTAGATAAATAAAAGAAAACCAATCTAGCGTAGTCCCTGATATGCCAGCCCATTTACTAAGCCTGTTTTTCAAGATATCATGATCCACTGTATCAAAGGCTGCACTAAGATCAAGCAGCACTAAAAGAGATGCCTCCCCGGAGTCAGGCTGCATTAAAATATCATTTAAAATTCTCACAAGAGCTGTTTTTGTACTATGCTTTTCCTGAATTCCAGATTGAAACTCATTTCAAAAATACTGTTTGCCTCCAGTGCATGCAAAAGTAGATCTAAAACCACTTTCTCCTAAATTTGTGTGATAAAGGGAAGTTTAGAGATTGGTCTAAAGCTTGAACAATCATTAGGGTCAAGGCCTGGTTTCTTAAGAAGAAGCACCACACTGGCCACTTTAAAACAATCAGGAACACACCCTCAGGTAAGAGAAAGATTCACAACTGCTTACAGACGAACACTTTTGTTCTCCAGATGATGTGCTGCCTTTCTCAACAGCTGTAGCTTGTAGATTGCATATTAAAAAAAAAAAAATAAAAAAATATAAAAGAATGAAGTGGCTAATCAAAATCAACACACACACACACACACATAAAAGTTCTCCTATAGGCACAATCTGTGTAGAAGCCAAAACACAAATAATGTAGCCAGTTCATTTCTTAGGTTTTGTGTCCACAGAAAACATATTTTGTACCAGTTTGATGTTGAGGACAGTGCAAAACAGGCATTTCATCTGGGGGCACGATGCACTTCAGTACTTCACCAGAACATAAATTTTGTGCTGAATTCTGACACTCTCCCTCCCTCTTTTGTATACATGCATGCTATGCAAGCATGCACACTACATGGCATTTGTGATTTCTGTTGTTGAAATCTGAACACGATGTCCTAAACCACACTGAAGTTTTAAAGATGTATTTACAAAAAAGATTAGGGTGTCTATCGATTTCTAATTTTTGCTAGCAATGTTAGCCTCATAGCTCCAGCACTATTTTCACTATATCCATTATTAATGTTTTGAAAACTACTTTGGAAACTCCTGTTTGTTTCCTAGTTATTTTTCTTGATTTTCCTCTTCCTTATGCAAGTGAATTACTTTATTCAGGAGACATTGCTGAGATTCCTGACAATGAATAACTTGTACTTAAATGTCAATAAAATAAAAAAGTAATTATGCAATAGTAAGTGTGCACTAACCAGAACCTGTAAGGCACACTGCATCACTCTGATTAAGTAAGACCCCCAGGATCGTTCTCTACACAGAAATGCTGCTCTGGTACGTCACCACCTTCAACTGTGTGTGTGTGTGTGTGTGTGTGTGTGTGTGTGTGTGTGTGTGTGTGTGTGTGTGTATACACACACACATGTGACTGCTAACCTTGAAGTGAGTGTGTTCTGTTGGAAAGGGTAAAAGTGTATTTACATGTGTCAGCAACGTTTACTACACCTGATGAGTCAGCACAAACGCAATGTGACCCTTTTTTTTAATATCTTAGTGCCACGACATGCTGTGTGTCTGTGTGCGAGACTGTGTGTATATAGGAACACTCCTGCTTCTGCTTGAGCCAAGCCTTCCTTCATCATACTCACTGGAGTATGTCCATTTATGTAGACATAGTTTCTGCTCTAGAAATCACAACAATTGGCCTGCAGTACATAATGCAAACTATCAGCGTCATCACTGGGGAGATCAGGCTAATGTACCCGGACATGACTACAGTTTCTATAGAAACAGAACTGCATCAGGAGGATGAGAGAGAGAGAGAGAGAGAGAGAGAGAGAGAGAGAGAGAGAGAGAGAGAGAGAGAGAGAGAGGGAGAGGGAGAGGGAGAGGGAGAGGGAGAGGGAGCGAAATGAGAGAAATGAGGGAGAGAGAAATAAAGAGGGAGAGAGAGTGAAGAATAATAAATGAAACAAAGAAAGAAAGAAAGACAGAAAAAGAGGTAAAATGAAAAGAGGGAAAGAAACAAAGAGATAAAGAAATATGAAAAGAAAAAGAGATAAAACAAGTGACGGAGAGAGAGTGAGTTGCAGAAAGAAAGAAAGAGTTACAGAGGCAGAATGAGTGACCTTGTGACTTCCCAAAAGGGTGTTTTCACTCACCCGGAAAGTGACGAAGCAAAAAACTTCATCGAACCGTCACGATTTAGTCACCATTAATAAACTAGAACCATAAACTTGGCGTCTGGGTCAGTTTAGGACAAGATCAAACTGGACGTTTAGGGCTCTAAGGGGCAGCTTAGACTGCAGATCTCATACAGATGGGGTAAAAAGCAGTTCGAACAATACTGTGATGTTTTAAGTCGAAGACCACAAAAAACAGCATTTTGAGGGAGATAGGATCTTTCAGACTTGCACACAGCTAAAGGAAACTGGATGGCTCTTACCTTTGTCTCCTGCAGGATTGATGCATTTGTGCAGCCTCCACTGTCTGCTGCTGCTGGACACCTGCACTATGTGGAACTCACGTACTCCTGCTTCACTCTGAGAGAAAAGAGAGAAAAACAATATTTCAGGCATCAAGAAGCATGTTCATAATCATTTCATATAATAACTTTCAGCAATGCCACTTTTAGAGGCATCAATCTCTTTGTTCAGAAAATGAAAATCCAGAGACTCTCCATTCCATCCCATTCTCCTTTAAGAACACAATTTTGGTGAACTTGCAAATCTACACCAGCACCCAATAGCACAACTGCTTTGGATGCACTGATCTCAGGAGGGGGAGTCTTTTGGAAAGTGCCAATGAAGATTCAAAACGGGAGAAGAACTAATTTTCTTAGCGTTCATGTTCAGCATAACATTTCATTTCATTGTTGATCTGGCTATAAATTAATACATAAGCTGGTGGAGAGCTGGAGTAGATGATCCAACTACATTTTGTACTTTTCCCTGTTAATTTTTGGTTAAGCTAACATGCTAGCCAACCGTTTGCTCAGTTTCCTTCTTCTTCTCACAATATCATTAGCACAGTTGAAATGCTAAGTCACTAAATGGACTAAAATGGAAGAATTTTTGGTCAACACATTTCCTGTTCCTTCTTGGTGGCGCTTATTGTGCAATGAGCATCTTACTGGTAATGTCCAGAGTGACTGCAACTTAAGAATAGAAAGTGTATGTGGGTTTGCTAAATACACAGTGAAGTGAGTGTATGCAATTTTGTTGCATTTTCCTTCAGTAAAGCAAATGTTTTATTGAGGATTCTAAAGTGAACAGGATAAGAGTGCATTTGTGGATGAAAACTGAGTAAGAATTCCACGTATGTGCAGGATACTTGGTAAAATAAAGTGATTCAGATTCTGAAAGGAGTTGTAGGGCAGAGTAGGACCCCTAGAAAACTCCTTTTCTACAGATTTGCCACTGTTTTACCATCATCTGTACTACATACAAAAACTCAGAAGATAAAATAGCTATACTGTGTATAGACATTGCCACCCCAGTTCCTATCAATACCACTGTAAAGAAATCTAAGTCATTAAGTTTCTTTACAATGCACCATTTCACGCCAAACCTCTCTGAATGAGTTTGTTTACAACTCAACGACTGAATGGTGCAGAAATCTCGTAAAATCAACGGAATTGCCCTTTTAAGGAGTGCAGGAAATGCAAAGGTTATTTGAATAAGCATACAGTGTTGATGTTCTCCACATCCACAAAGACCAGCATGCTGCCGCTTCGCTCTTCCTCTCTCTCGTCCCTCCTGCCTCTGCCCTGGCAGCGTGTTACTGCGGCTTGCTGTCGCCCTGACACTCAGCGAACGACTTGCACAGATAACGGCTTTGTGACGCAGGACTCTGTGACTGAGAGGGAGGGAGGGGGAGAGAGAAAGAAAGAAAGAAAGAAAGAGAAAGAGAAAGAGAAAGAGAGAGAGAGAGAGAGAGAGAGAGAGAGAGAGAGAGAGAGAGAGAGAGAGAGAGATGAGTGATTCAAGTCATTTGGCAATTCCTAATGATATTACAAAGTAATTATCTCTGCCATAAAGCATGTTTCCAGATGAAAGCTTGCTCTCTTAACTGTGAATCAAGCACTTAACATCCACAAGCAGAGAATCCTTCCTGGACAACAATAACGTTATTTTACATTTATTAATTAGATACTTTTCAATCTTACAAACATACACATTGATAAGCCTACATTAGTGGTTCCCAGTACTGGCCCTGCAGATTCCTTCTCAACTAGTCAGAGATCTCCTGGGTGGAGTGGTCATTATGACAACAGAACGAAAGTACATTTCTTGCCCTGCCCCCTCCCTCACACCCCTAAATTTTGCTTCAAGCTCAGCTTTTCAGAAATAACAGTTATCAAACACAAGTGACAAAAGAAACAATGGCCAAAAATGTACAAAAAATGGCTGATAAACTTCGATCTATATCTGTTTATCTGGGGATTTGACTGGGAAATATGACACACAGTACACACGCAACAGTCTGTTGATGTGTCTGAAACGGTTTTAAAGTTATTTTTAAAGTTATCTTTAATATCAGTAATGAGAACAAAAACAGGAAATAAAAGTAATACTGATAATTTGTGCACAATGCAATCCAGAACAAACATGGATGTACTTATTTAATGCTACTGAAACTGCACAAGTAATTAAAAAAAAACAATAAAAAGTTGTCTCATACTCTGCAATTAAACTTCCTGAGATGAACTGAGCGTGTTAAGAATGGGTAAAACACAGGACTACCGCTGGACCACGTTGGAAACCACTGGTCTATGAAAAGTGGAATAACATTAGCTCTGTTTTCTGCATTTACCTGAGCTTTGCATTTTTCTCCAGGCTCTCATAGTAAAACAGGAAGCTTATCTCATGCACTCCCTCTCGGTCAGGTCCTCTGAGCCACAGTGGGATCTGTAGCGCCTCTCCTGGTCCTAGCACTTCTCCAGTTAAAGGGATTTCCACTACCGTAGGTCTGTCGTCCCCAGTAATGCCAAATGTTGCCGGAGACACCAGCGTTACGGCAGCATCAGACGGGGGTGTGACCATAGTCTTGTACGCAGAGCAATGCTCAGCAGCTGTAGGGGTAACAGGGGTAAGGTCAGCAGCGGCACTGCCAAAGGTGAAGAACTCTGGGTGTGTGGACGCCACTCGCAGGCCAGCAAGAGGAACTGCGCTCACGTTGACGAATTCCACCCATGCTTTCCTAATCTCACCACACAGCAAGCCCGTAGGGAAGTTTATGAAGAACACCTGCAGCAGGCAAAGTAAGACAGGGAAACAGAAATATAATAGCTTCAACATTACCATTATTAACTGTTGTAAAGGGTGCTTCAGTGCTGCAATTGGACTGCCCTGTGTCAGGGCTGTGCTTAATGCGGGCCTCATTAAACATGCACACACACAGGCCAGGCAATATGAACAAGAATCTTGTCACAATATAATTTTCCAACTTTAGTTCTGATAATTATTACATGCATTTTCTAACTGTGAATTTTAATTCTGAATAGTATTTTCAAAGCTTACTGCAAAACAGCTAGCTATATATGAAAGATTTTAAACATATATTTTAAACAAGTATCTCCACATATAGTACCTTTACAGGAGAAGGCAAAAACATACTTACCTTTCAATGTAAGTTAATGTAAAAGAGGTTTTATTTCAAGTGATTTTAGAGCATTTCTAATGGTCCATTCAACATGAAATTTTCACACAATGTAAAGGACAGCTGGTGTGTTAAAAAGATGTAGAAAAATGAAAATGGAGATGCATGGTTTTCTTTGAACAGCAACGATGAAAATGCAGTACTTAGTTTGGAAAAATATTTGTTTTCGATGATTAACATCTTTTATTATTCTATATAATAATTAACGTCTTTTTATAACAGAGGCCTCATACATACATACATACACACACACACACACACCTCCAGCAGGGGCATTGGAGGAGTGATGATTGGGTCTAGGCGGCGATCTGGTCCATGTCTAACTGAGGTCTTCTCCTCTTTGGTCACGTTGAGTCTCTGGGCCCTGGATTTCCAGGTCCTGCCGCCCGCGCACAAACATATACTGACTGGCTGCAAAGCACAGAAAGCAACAAGACATATCCATGAAATATTTGACATATCCATAAAATGTTTGACTGATTTCTCCACTACTTGGAATGTTCTTAAGTTTAGATGAATGATAAATTTGACACTGCAAGGTTTATCTTAAGTGATACAACTCCTGACACTAAAATGGCACAGTGAATTACGTTAGGTTGCTGTACATGGAAGAAGTAGTGCAATAATAATAACTGCAGTAATTTCAGAGAGAAGTCTCTTTTTTATTGTTGGTAGAGTCTGTTTCTCAGCATACAGTGTGCCATTTTGAAAATGGCAATAAATGTAAGACAAGGAACACGTAATGGAAGAAATAACTCAAGTGTCTACTAAATTTCGACAAATAGTGATTGCAGATGAAGTCCAGAGATGTGTGTTCATTGGACTGCACAGCATTTCTCAACTAGCATTTTCACCAGTTAGAAAGCATGTCTGTTTAACTGCTTTTTGGGTTAAACATGAGAGAATAATGTGCGGATGTGTCTGCTTTTGTGTGATACCTTCACTAGTGCTGTTGTCCTCTTCTCTGGTGCCCAAGTTGTAAACAATACCAAGCACATGTAGCTCTCCTGTTTTATGAGGGAGCAACTTCAGTCGGGCCTGAAGGACAGAGAGGGAGAAGACAGTGAGACGGGACACTGAAATCAGACAAATTAAATTAAATTAAATAGCAGAATGACTGAAAAACAAATCAATGTTGAGACATACAAACCCTCCAAACAAATAGAAAGACAGAAAAGAGCAAGATCGTCAAAGAGAAACAGGATGAACTGGCAATCAATCAAGAACAAGAAAAGCAAGAAGAAAGGAAAAAGAGCACTCCAAGGAGAAACAGTTCTCACCACTTTTGTCTCTTCTGGACTAACAGTAAACTCTGGAATGACTTCAGTGCTGATAATGTCATTAAGAGCTGTGGCCTGGAACAAGAAAAGCAAACAAGGAGGCTTAATTAACCACAGATAATTAAAACAGAGAAAACCCACACTCATCACTCCCAGACCTGAGCTGATTGTGGAGATGCAGATCTTACTGTGCCTGCAGCTGCCTCCTTCTCATTGGTAATGGTTTCTCCAGTTGTGCCTCCCTGAGGTCCAGAAAAGTCCTTTGTCGTGAACTTCCACAGCAGAGACAGGTCTGACAGAACCAGCGGAACCTTTAGAGGGTTCCGAAACACCACCTCCACAAACATGGGCTCTGAAGCAGCATAATAAACGGAAAAGGAGGCATGTTGGCAGTGTGTTATATCAGTGAAACACGTACGCAAAACCTGTAGGACGAAATGCTTAATTCAAAAATAAAAGGTGCACATAAGCAGTGTCAATGAACACAAATCAAAAAGGTTTCATTTAATAAAAAACATGGCTTTCAAATCCCTCCCAAAAGTAGTTTTCAGTAGGTAACAAGTGCTAAGCATCTGTGGAACGTCGAGACTGCTGAAAAAGCATCCCAAGTATGCTTCTAATGAAGCTGCCTGAGGGCAAAATACTGGCTACTTTAGATTTGGGCCAATTTTTCACATACAACACAGGGCTTGGGTTTGTTTTATATAGTAGATTTGTTTAATCTGAAGAAATATGCCTGTAAAACTTCCATGCACTCCCACAATTTCTCTACTGTTTGCTTTCTCGATTTCTCTTTCTCTCTCTCTCTCTCTCTCTGATGGCCTAAGTGTACAACTAAGCCTAAACAATGGTCTTGCTAACTGTTTGCCACAGATAAATAAAATGAAAGCTGTATTTATACAAAGCTATCATAGGTATTTCATATGTTCTATTGTTTGTAATTCTAGTGGCAAACCACTTGAGAGAAGTGGTGAAAAACTGCTCAGATTTTTAACAAGACTTTCATGGAAAATGTAAATGCGTGCATCCCTGTAAAATAATGGGCAAACGCTGCAAGAGTAAATTAAATAAAGCCTGAACATTAGCAGTAAAGGGTCAGGATCAGGTTTTAATTTAAAGACAAGTTCTGCATGAGCAGGACACAGTAGGTCCATGTTAGGAGATCTGATATTAACATTCTCATGATTAAATCACAGCAGCCATCATTTCATTTAAGTCTCTAAATGCTAAAATGAAAAGCTGAAACATACGAATATGGTATGAGTAATTCGCAGAGGGTGTGAGGTCAAGACCGATCCCTTGTTAAAACTCCTCATAACCTTCTTCTTTTCATAAACCTCTTCAGAAATCAGCAGCAATATGCAGAGTGAATAATTGATTTAAGCCTAATTAGAAAAATAAATGAATTAAAAAACTTCAACAGAACACTGTGTTTTGAAAACCTGGGGAAGGCTGGATGATAGAAAAAAAAAATTAGCCACACAACTCAAAGGTAGGGTGCTTACTGAAGCTAGTATTACTCCAAACATAGATACTGCACTGACCAATATTATCATTTGTTATTTATTACTGCAAGACTAGTGTCAGCACTACAGATATCACAGGAAAGCCATATATTGCAAATTAATGCTTCAATTAAAAAACAACCAATCAACCAAACAAAAAAAAAGTTGAAACTTCCAGACTCAGTGGGGGATGGAGGGATGAAAGGAGAGCAGCACTCTTACCTTCCACCACAGCGAGGGGGTAACGCAGGTTGTCTGTGTGGCTGCTAAGGCAGTACTGCGTGGGCTGGAAGCTGATAGGCACACTCCCCCTATTAGCCACGGCAACCACCTGCTCTTCCAGCTCCGCCCACAGCTGGGCCTGCTCCCCGTCAAACTCCTGATCCAGCCACACGTGGGTGGCAGCTTGCTTCTCCCCTGTCACCACATCACACAAACACACACATGCAACAATATCTATACGTCATGCCATGTAAAGCCATTATTCAGCCACAAATAACACGCTCATCCTTCTGGGTCACAGGGGGTTGCTGGAACCTATACCAGTTGTCACTGGTCGCCAGTCCATCACATTTAATCACACACATTCACACCTAGGGGCAATTTAGCGTGGCCTAACTGCATGTCTTTGGTCTGTGGGAGGAAACCCATGCAGACACGAGGAGAACAAGCAAACTCCAAAAAGAAAGCACCCTGGTTGCCTGGCCAGGGAATCGAACCCAGGCCCTTCTTGCTGTGACAGCGCTACCCACTGTACCACCCCAAAAATAACACCACAACATGCTTAGTGTCTGAAGTTTGCCTCTGTACTGGAGCTATGAGACCAAAGTAGCTAACAAGTAATGGAAGTTTATGCTCATGGTTATGACTGTGCTAACTGCATGCCAAAATCACATTTGCCTTAAACCCTGTGAGTCAAACACAAGGCCTACGGGCCAAGTCAGGCCCATGACACAGTTCTATTCAGCCCGTGAAATTATTTTGATTTTCTATTCTTACTAGCCCATTTCGCCCTGAGATGCACTACAGTCCCCAGCATGCACTGCAAGTGTGCGTTCTGACCCCCTTCCCCCAACAACAATCTGTGGGCCAGCAGTTATACAAAAAGAAAAGAAGCCTGGTGTCTAGTTCAAGCAAATAGGCAGTTAAAAATACCTAGAATAATTAATTTTTGAATAAGTATTCAGTGCCTATTTTGCTGTTGCAGTTTTGGCATATTTTGAATAAACAATGACCCGTTGGGCTCATGGCAAAACATTAAGTAAAAATGAAATAAAAACACAGCTGGCCCACAGATCTGCTGAGATTTTTTTTAAATGTGGCCCTTTTAGTGGTTGAGTTTGACACCACTGCCTTAAAGTGTGCCACAATTATTAAGTAATATCAAATAGAGTTCTTTATTTGGTTTCTGATACTATACATTTACCTATAAAAGCAAAAGTTGGGTTCTAAAAGCTCGAGTTGAGGAGCTGCCTTTAAAAAGATACACAAGTCACAGTGTGGCAAAAGGCATGACTGCCGCTCCTTACGAAAACTCTTTATTCACTTTTTGCAGTAAAATTGTAAAAACTTTTACCTGATGAAAGCCAGTCATTGTGAATCCTGAATTTTGTCCATATGTTTCTCTGATCATTTAGGCATGTCATTTCCATGATGCTCACACAGTTCTTGCAGTTCTTGTTAACCAATCATAGCCTCTAGTGCAAAACTAAAGAAGCAAATTTCAAACACAAAACATGTCTTGACTGATTGATTACTTTTAGGTAAGAGCGAAAAATTGTACAAATTAGACTTTTGGCCAGAAACTAAAGCTTTGGATGCCTGTGTGTCTCTTAAACAGGTTCAGAAGGTCTTAATTTGAAGAATATCAGAGTGTAGAGGGGAAAAAAAAATGTTACATAACATAAAATGTTACCAAGTAAAACAAATTCATATACAAAAATGCTGCAAACATATCCTCTGAACTGACTATAGGCTGGCTAAAACTCATCTAATTTTTCTCAGTTCACTGCAACACAATTCCCAGCACTGCTGCTTCAGGTGAATACTCTCAGCAAATCAGGGATGGAATTAGATAACGCAAAAATCAATGGTTTCCTACAGGGATCAGCATTCATAGGCAGACAGCTGACTAACGTGTCACAGTCTGTTTCTCACTAGTTCATCGACATGCATCAAAGTGTGTCATTATAAAACTAACAACAGTGCTCTTCACATCTGAGACGTGCTGAGTGTGAACAGCCTACACTCGTCTGGTGAAAGGCTCCCTGATGAAAAAATGCCTATGCAGTACTAATAGCTTATTCAGCAACAATGGCTCTGAATCCACTTAGAAGTGCCAAGCCTCTTTTCTTTCCCATAGTTACAAACTTTGAACTTCTTTTCCTATAATTTTCCTTCTATGGTTCTGAAGGCACATTATCTTCACTCACATTACCAATGAATCATGATAATCTCTCAAAAGTGATACTGACTGCTTTTGTACGTCACAGCTCAACACATTACCAGCTCCAACTAACACTGGTCCTTCTGGGCATGTGTGCAAGTGCTACAGTGAGGATTTGTGTCTAAGGTCCATGACCCACCAAGCTGACGTTTAAAAACTAGCAGCAACTATGTCAGACTGATGATCACCTTCCCTCAGCTCTCCGTCACCTCTCATCTCCTGTGAAAATTTGCACTCAAACACACTGCGGAGAACACAGCCGATGGCCGATGAGCGTGTACTTCATGTGCCTTCATGAAAGGGAGTAACTCTATCGCAGCAGTTGGCAATATTCTAAAACGGTAAAACTGCAGCACAGAAAGTAAAGAATATATTCATCAAATATATTATAAGCTTCAAATGTATCTGTTTGAGCTAAACCTCCAGTGAAAGTGAAAGTAAAACCACTGTTAGTTGGTGCTGGGTGGGTAAAAAGGTTACTTAAAAGTAAACATTAGTATATTAAACAGAGAATTAAAATGCAGAGTCACATGTTCAAATAATATGAAGAAAGTACAAAGTCATAAAATGAGTATCGTATGCTTTATTTTTTGTTAGTGTTTCATCAGAGCACCCTCAGAACCACCGCGTGTCGTGTTTATTCATAATAATATTAACTTTTTTCTTGTTGGGAAATGACAAATCACATATTTGTTTAAATATCTGGACATTCGACCAGCAAATTATATCACTTCTAGTGCAACAGCATTGCTACTTAACTGGCATTGAAAAAAATGAGACTGTTTTCTGGGTGTCCTCTTAAGAAGGCCATTTTCTTGTGTTGCCTTCTTTCTTGCTTTCGTTTCTCTCTTCGTTCACCCTCTCTCATAGCCGGGTGACATGGACCTTTTAGACTAGACTAGACCAGAGCCAGAGTTGTACACAACACGCTGACTACAGGTGACATTCGGCCATCAATGCTCATCGATGATCTATTCGAGAGTCGGCTTGGTGTGTCCCTGGCCTAAAACTGTAAATGATCCTTCACTATCTTGTTATTAATTTATTATAATCATGCAAATAGCAACTAGCTCATTCTTGATATGGTTCGAGGTAGTGTTAACAACAAAATAATAAGAGCATACAAACTCGTAACCTTCTTCTATTTTTTTTAGATTAAATCAAGGAGCTCCAAGATTACTGCAGCTAGAAAAAAATACTTGTTTTGAAGAATCGGAAAATATTTAATTATCAAAATTACTGGCCTACCACTTCCAATCTAAGTCAAATTAAATAGACAACAAGAGTTCACACTATCTTTGCCCAGTTTAACCTACTCCACTTACTGCATGTGATTTTCAAACAGACTTTTAATTAAAAATACTAATTCCTTCCTCTTCACAGTCACAAAGCAGACATCCTCAGGGTTGCTCTTTTTCAAGCATCACAATTTACCTGCTTTTTCTATCAAATGTCACAAAACAGAGATATTACGAGGGACTTTCTTTGCTCAGCCTTTTTTTGACTCTAGGGTGAATATTTGCTGTGATTAAAGTGTGGGTTAAGTGTGTTTTTTTTTGTTAATGTAATTTATTCCTGTATTAATGTGCAAAACCTCCGTCGTCCCTGGCTCTTTAGTTTTCATTTAAAGTTTTCAGTGAAAATTACTTTTTTTTAAATCAGAAGTTGTGAAAGTGCCATAGGCTTGAGTTAATCAGATAGTTGCTCACTAACACATGTGTTGTGAGAACCATAAAGTTTGGCACAGAGTAATTAGAGCCACTCTGAAAGCGTAGTATACTCTAATATACCCTATAAAAAGGCACACTGCACAATGGCGAATGAACCAAGAGTCATCCGCTTCCTCCTTTTGGAAACGTTCCTTAAATGTTCCATTTGCATAAATGAAAAGCTTGAGAGGGTCTGCTGACCCCTTTAAAAAGCTATATGAATGCTCTGATCTCTTAATACGAGTGCTTAAATAAAATAAGAGTGTTCTCCTAAAACTAAACTTTCCAGCATCTAATATAAAGACTTCTGAGAAAAGTACAGGCTGTTACTGCAGAAAAAAAAGAGGTGACAAACTCACTATTTATACTCTCAATTCCAGAACAAACACTCAAAAAGGCTGATGGCTTCAAAACAGTGCATGTAATGTGTGTACATGCTTTCTTACCCTCTGCAAGTCTGGGCTCATGGCCGAAGAACACGCGTGTCTGAGCACTGTGAATGCAGGGCAGGGGCAGCTGAGGCAAGGAGCCCTCATTGGACGGCTGGCTCAAACTCTGAGAACATAGAGGAAAACAGACAAAGACATTAAGGAAGACAATTACATGACCCCATAAAAATATGTGTAAAAACAACATTTGTAAAGCCATTACATGTCCTTTTCTTATCAAAACACTCCGACATAAAGAGTTTATCAGGCACACTTATCTGGTACTACACTCATTGATCACTTTATTAGGAACACCTACCATATCGGTGTACAAACATAATTACATATCAGCACTATCGTGATAAAACCTTGTATTGGTAAAATGGTAATTTTAGAGAAGAAGGATTTTTTTAAAACTCCGAATAGATAAAAATGGAACAACTTTTCCAAGTAAAAACTCAAAGTAATTCTGGAGCGTTTCTATGGTCTGTTCATAAAGAAATTTTAACATAAATTAATGTTCAGTTGGACTTTTTAAATTCTGAAAAAATTAAAAAAAAAAATAAATAAATAGATATATAGATATTACTTGGGTATTGCGAGTCTAGAAGGTGCTATGCCATTGCTGAAGTGTCTACTACTAGTTGAGAACGGTCTGCCAACCAGAAACGTCCAACAGTGGTCCTACAGTCAGACACTGACCACTGCTGAAGGACTAGAGAGTAACAAATTGTGTATGGAAAAAGATGAGCTATAGTCTCCAATTGCACACCTACAAGGTTTCTCTACTGAGTAGATGTTTCCAATACAGTGTCCAGAGACTGTAGAATTTCCACAAATCCACAAATCTTTTCACCTTTGCTTGATCTGCATATAAATCATACATATCTCTCTCTCTGATTCTCACTCAGAAATTGAGAAAGAATTTTTTTCATCTAGAGAAGCATCCTGCAGTTCTCAGTGTGCCCACCATGTGCTGAATCTCACTGCACGTTCATTCTTCCTTCAGCAAGTTCCTTTCACTTTGCTGAATTTGTAATGGCTCCCTACTTTGACGTATGGTGTGCTTTACGTCTAAAGCCTTTAGCTCATGCCCTATACAGTGTCCTACACGTCAGATCTGTAAGCTTTTCGGATTTAGCTGCAGTGAAGGGAACATGTTATAGCAAATGTAAAAGAGTTATGAGGTCTGGCTGCCGTTACACTGCTTGAAGGGCTACACGCTGGTTGGATGTCTGCTGTCATGTGACAAACCTACTTTACTTACCCTGCAGTAAAATGTTAGAGATGCAGATTCCTTTAGGAGAGATGTGCAGTATCCCAATGGCTGGTGCACACTGGGGCTGGGTTGTGTGCACAGTGATGCTTTTAAGCAATGCTACAGCTCTCTTTTACATGCTTCACACACTACTGCACTTACAGATCAGAGATAACACTGAGGTGAATGTGTCTCACTCCCTCAATCTCTTACACACACATACACAAACTGCAATCCTGCATTTTACTTCCCTGCAGACAAAGACAAGGACTCTGTATCATTTTATAATGAGGCAACAGAAAGCGCCACAGGGAGGTATTGACTTTAGACCATTAGTCTACAAAACGTTCCTTTTGTCAGCTTGAAGTTGAGCTTCTAGGGATGCAGTGATACAGAATTTCTAGGCTAATAATCATCGGGGTTCAACATAAATGATTGCCCTGGGCAAGTAAAATGCTAATTCAGGACAGCAGCTTTGAAAATCACTTGCCCCGTCAGGCAAACTGATGTTTTCAGGGACAACTGATTCGGTGAACAATGAACTTGAGATTGCTTCCATTCACTTTTCCTATCCAAATATACCCTCACTTCAAAAAAAGGGTGTAATCCAGGTGTACATTGAGATCAGTTCTAACAATGCACATTGTTTGTAGGTTATCATCATTTGTAGTGTGAGGTATCATTGAAAATGCTACATGCTAATAAACAAACGACTCAAGCAAGCAGTGAACAAGGGCCTGCTCACACAGAGAAGTGTTGCTGACGCCAGCATGACACCAAGTCACTGGTCGCTAAACATTCTGCCTTGGTAGATTCCCACCAGGCACACACTATGCAATTTAGCCCATTTTTAAAACAAACTCTATCACAGCTCCTTCCCTAATACAGTTGGTCAAGGCAAAAAACTTGACAGTAGCTACATTAGCTAAGTCCATAAATGTCAACTTACTACGAAGTTCTATTAAGTCAAACAGATTAAACTTTAACACAGTGATTTTTTTAACTATGGTTGTAAAATAGGCTGTACATAGATAGTATTTTTATCACTTAGTTTCAGTGCAGTGTGGCATGAGTTAGCTGAGCTGTAGCTCAGTTTCTCAGTGTGTTTGCTCGGTACTCGGGTGTGCAGCGTGTCATTTTGAATGAAATATCTTTACAGATAATTGTCCTCAGACAAAACTGTCTACTGGGGCTGTGTTTCATGCAACAACAGTCAGACAGAGTGTTTTTGTACACTGTGAGCATCTCAATCGTAGGCTTTGCCCATACACGACAGTCTATTCAACATACATTGACAGTCACCAAAGATTAAGATTTCTAAGCACAGCATATGTTTGGCTTCAGAAGACACTCAACTACAGCTCAACCAACCAAACAAGACACCAACAAAACAAAACTCCACAGGGGATCTCCACAGATTAGCTTTAGATCTGATTCATGCTCTCACTGCCCTACAGAGACTGTTGTTATAAGAGACAGATGAGGATCAAAACTATGAAACATACTTCACTTAGAGCTGTACAGAAGTGCTTTTCTGAAGTGAAACAAAATATGCTCTTCTCCACTGCAATGCTGCTCATTCCAAGGTAATTAATGTAATTAATAGCTAGCTAATGCATGTCATTTCAAATCTGCCAGATTTGTAGTGTTAGAAGTCTTGCTCAACTCTGAAAGGGTAATGAACCTTCAGTCTTCTGTGTGTGAAGCAGTGGTGTTATCCACCATGCTATCCATTTGCTATCCACCATGCTATCCATCCATGCATCATGGAGAATGGGCACTTTTACTGGGGATGCATGATGGTATTTGAATCATATCAGTATCAGCAGATAAAAACAAATTAAAAACAACAAAAAATGGCACCGAACAGACGTACAGACTTGGCTGAAATTTCTGATGCATTTATTAAGAATATTTGGGTGATTAATGCTGAGCCAAGTTTACAAATGATTAGCACCAATTAACAACTCACTCCAGCACTCCTCGTCCATTCTGGCCATTAGAGAAATAATAAATTGTCCAACACGATTATAGTCATCATCATTAATTTGAATCCTATACAAAATATCATTAGAACACTAAAGACTGAACCCAGTCATGTGAATCAAATCGAATTGTGCGCTTACTCTATCGTTACACCACTACTGCTGATATAACGTCTTAGCTACAACAGAGGGCTACATGGGGGATGATATCTAGTCTAATTATCCATTTGCTCCAGGCTTGTGCTAGATTAAGATCCAATTCCCAGAAATCTATCAGACAAAACTACAAAACTAGCTATGATGACCATTCACATGCAGGGCTATGGTCTGGCCAGGGATAAATAAGAAAGAGAATAAAGTGGGTCAATGTTCAGAATGATTCCAGCTGACTCATCCTCACACTACCATTCCTGCAGACACTGAAGCAGACCACTTATTCACTTTCTATTAAAATAAAATCCTCTTTTTCCTGTGTGGGAGTGAGTATAAAAAGTATAAAACCCTCAGGCTAATCACTCATCGTGGAACTTGAAACTTGAAATCACTGAATGTCCAGCTCAGGCATCTGGCTGGTCATTTTAGGCTATAAAGGAAACCAGTGCAAAACCTGCATAAGCTGAAGTGTAGCTGTATTCTTCCTTTACTATGTGTGTGTTTCACTGACCTCTGAAAAGCAGCTTTAAAAAAAAACTGATTGCATTATAATCATTCTGCCACAAATGATATGTATATGCACTATACGTTGCAGGCCTTGGCAATTACAATGTTGGCATATATTGATGTCAAAGAACAGCTGAGGCTAAATTTAAATTGTTTTGGCTAAGAGGTTTTGACATTTGTGTAGACTACAAGGTAATACCACAGAAAAAGGAATCTGCATCCTAAAATACTGTTATTTCAAATCACAGATTTCCACAGAACACCCAAAACACATCCCACAGACTAGTCTGCCCAGCACATGACTAGCATCGGCCTTGGATGCTCTGCCCACAGAGGTACACAGACTGATATTTATTGCATGCTAACATGGCCACAACTATCAGTCATCTGGTCAGTTACATTCTTACTGGCTCTCTGCATGTCTGAGCACATGCACTTGCAAGAACTGGTTTTTATCAGTTTGATGAAAAATGTGCAAATGTGCAAAACATTCGCAAGCAGTAAACCTTTGTGCGTTTGCTGGCATGCATACCACTTAGTTTCATGCAGGTCTGGTTTTGTTGTAGCATCGTTTTAGAATCGCCTGCTTCTACATATCACACAAAAACAACAGTTTATGGTTGGTTGTTTCGTATGGCCTCTTTCAAAAAACTGACCAAACTCTTTCATGATAGACGGGCTTGCGAGACTAGCAAACGACAGAACAGTACAAAGCATGTGCTATGTGTGAAATAATGTGGTGAGCCTCTTACTTTGTAGACATAGAGGTATTCCCTGAGGAAGGCGCTCTGCTGGGTGGCTGTCTGCTTGCTGTCGTTGATGAGAATGTGCCGGAACGCGGCCACAGCGTTCTCAGGCTGCCGCAGTGTGAAGGACTGGCGGCCGATGGTGAAGTTGATGTGATCTTCAGCAAGAGTCCAGCCCTTCCCCTTGTACACCTGCATGGCCTGGCAGTAACACCGCAATGCATGCCTCTTCTGCAGAGAGAGGGTGAGAGAGAGAGAGAGAGAGAGAGAGAGAGAGAGAGAGAGAGAGAGAGAGAGAGAGAGTGAGAGTGAGAGTGAGAGAGAGAGGGTGAGAGTGAGAGAGCGCGTTTCCTATTTCAAACTATTGTTAACAGCACATATTGAAACTCTGTAGCCCCAATCTGATGTGTAAGGAGAGCTATGTGCAAGTAAAAGATGTACAATACTTAAAACGCATTGAACATTAGGACTGTTCTCACACCCAGTATTATGTTTTAAGTGGGCCATCAAACATAAACAAATAAATAAATAAATGTTTATGTGAGCCTATAAAAACTAAATATGCATGTATTTGTTTTGTAGCCTTTTTAGAAAAATCTGCTGAGGTTATGCTGACTGTTTCTCAGCCTTTCAGTGCACAAAATGTGCTCACAATTCAGATGTAAGTAGATGTTAGTGTTTTATTTTATTTTGCACAACAGAGAACGGTGCTTCTGTAATTTTGTATTTTGCTATTTGCTTTAAGGAGAAATGAGTCATATTTCTGTTTACACATCCAAAAAATAAGTCTGTACTTGTCACATCCACTCAGAGGCTACTTTAATAATAATAATTTATTACTTCTCAGATCACTATGATATGTCAATATCACACAGCCCTAATTTTACATGTGTACCTGCAACCTACTGGTTTTAAATTATGAAACACAGTGATTCTAAAGTTCTGACCGATGATTTCAAACAGTAACGTTTGTATAACTGTATGCAAAAGTTTGAACACCCCCAGTAAAGTCAGCGTGTTTTGCTGATTTTCTAAAACTAAGTTAACACATCCTCTTCAGGGAACAAAATTAATTTGTTTTTTCTTTGCATTTTTTTTTGCACAATTTAGTGTTCAATTTCCATTTATTTGCTGAGCTTAAAATATTGAAAAAAAAAACAAACAAAATATAAATGTACTATAATATGCACAGGCCAAATGTTTTTTTTTTCCCTCCAATGTGTTAAATTCAGCAAATAAACAGTAAACATGCATTAAGTGCCCAGAAGTGCATTCTCTATAGAGAATGTGTAGTTAACAAAACATAACCAGGGATGCCCAAACTTTTGTACACTTTTATATGCCTGTGTGGGTTCATGTGTGTGTAATAACACAGCAGCAAGACGTCCAATTACTAAAAGTTCCTGAAAGAAAACATCTCTCCTCCCTCTAACAAGGTCTTTCTCTTTTCCCATCTCAGTATGATTACTGTATTTATCCACATCCCCTGCGTGGCGTTGCTCCCCAGAAGCCACCACCAAACTCAAAGCAAACTAAACCGACATCAGGTACGGGGTTTGGCTCAAGATGAGCATTCAGTTGCGAGCTGATGTTCTGTTAAAACAGAAGACTGTGTCTCACCTGTCCAGCCTTGCTGTAGCGGTGGCCAGATAGGATCATGTGGAAGGCAAACTTCCTCACCATGGGGCTGCGCATATTAATGAAGCAGTGGGCCGCCTGTTCCAACAGGAGCGCACTCCGCAAATCAGAGTCCTATCAGAGACAAAAGGAGATAGGCATGCAAAATAATAAATGCTTACAATACAAAGGCACATCTTTCTGAAAACAATGACACAAACAAAAGCAACAGAATATGTCAAATATCTGACAGCATGCATGAGCGATATTCTTTACTGGATTCAGAAGCAGGAATTCATGAAAACAAGTTTGTCAAAACACACACACAAATGTTGACCATACCTCACTTGTCATCTTGATTAGCAGAGTAGCAGCATCTGAGTATTTGGCCTGACTCTTCAGCACCTCAGCACTCAACAGAGCACAGCGCTCAGCCAGGACCATGTTTCTGTAACACACACACACACAAATGTGGTACATTGCAGCATAAGCACCTAAACAATGAAGCATGTGCATCCCCATCTTTATTACAGTGGGACAAACACATGTGTTTGCGCTCCATTTTGTATTTAAACTAAAATTGCCTTTAACTGTAAATAATTGTGTTAAGAAGTTTAAGAGTGAGTAAGCTGTTCATGTATTTTTTTTTTTTTTTACTGATCATTTAACCAAAAGGTTAAATCCCCGAAGTTTAAGTGCCATGTTTAACAAAATCATATTTCTCATATCATTTTACCAAAACTTAACAAAACTATTACCTGAGTAGGAGATCAGTGAAAATACTTTAATGTGACATTTATTTAGGAGCAATGAGTCTTGCTACAATGCAGAGCAGTAGATTTATGATTCAGCTGCCAGGTTTACAAATAAAATATATTCTCGTTTTGGTTCATTTGGTTCATTGAACAGAACAGTTTCACTGTTCTACGTCTCTCTCTCCAGTTGGTGACACTTAAAACAAACTAAAGAACGGTTAGAGACATTCTGTTCAGAATGGACATTTTAGTCTAACTTGTAAGGCATGACATGAAAAAAGTTTGCAGGGTGGGGGGCTGAGTTCCACGTAAGACTGATAAGGCTACAGGCTACCATATGCCAGATGAGTCATGGTAGGTGACCTGGCTTGAAATTTACACCACGGAAAGCAGCCAATCTAAATCTTTTAAGATAAACAGACAAACGCTTAACTTCTGTTTTCTCTTTAACTAATGTTACAAGCTTAGTCACACAGTAACGCATTTCATATCTGTGCGATGTAATGCTCGTCATCCTGTGTGCCTTCAGCCAGCTGCAGTAGTCTTTCTATTTTCTACATTTTCTTTGGACTAAACAGATAAGAAACTCTGATGAAAATGTAAGACTTGGGCTCTACACTGCCCTCTGGTGGAGCAGAGTTCTAACAATGTTCATGAATATGAAAACACATAATGTTAGAAGTTAATTTGCTGATCAACAATTCTAAATTTCTATATGATTTTTTAAAACTTTCATGGCTTTTTAACAAACCTGACATCACTATTCAGTGCATGTAGCATACTACAAGCAGAGCCTAAAACTTTAGCGTGCTAGCAGTAAATGTACCACTGGAATTCATTACATCACTACACCTCTTCATATCATTATACCATGTGTGTACTTAGGTATAAAACATAGTGTTTTAGTTATAGTTAGTTTCAACATCTGATATGTTGTCTGTGTACTATTTTCAATTAAATATAGGGTTTAAATGATTCATCATCATCATCATCATCATCAGCATCAACACTATTTTTATTTACATTTTACACCATGTGCCAACTTTTTTGGAAACAGGTTTGTAGATAGGTTAATCAGATACAGACAAACTATATAAAAATAATTGTTAGTTTCTGCCCTAAACTCTTGGGAATACATATTCACAAAAAATACCTAAGATGGAGAAAAAGAGTTCATGCATGTGTCATACTTGCAGACGTCCCGGTAGGTCTGGATGGCCGTCTCCATGTAGTGTGCAGGGTACGGCCTGGGAGCACCACTCTGCAGAAACGCAGATACGGCAGCCATCTCCTACACACACAAAAACATATTTTGTACGCAATGACCTTGCACATCAGAGTCATTGCATCACAGAGACATCACAGTGCATCTGTCTACACACAAGTGAGTCTTACCAGTGCTCCTGCAGCATACAGCATGGCCTGGTCAGAGAGAAAGTCCTTCTTGGCAGTGTGGTAGCAGCTATAGGCCAGCTCATAGTGCTGTACCAGAAAACACAGGTCAGCCATCTTCCTGATCTGCAACTCTGGAGCTTCTGGGGGATACCTGAGGTCAGAAAGGTTAAATAAACATTTATTGAAAGAGCCATATTCTAAATTTGTCTTGTATTTAATTTTTCCCTCTTGAGGTTCGCTTAAAATGATTGTGTAGATTTATGTACCAAAACAGTCAGAATTAATTTTGACATGGTAATTTTCCATTTGCTCATTATAATGTTTTTTAAATAAACAGGATGTTTTAGTTACTGTGCCTTCATGACTGATTAAAGCAATAAGCCACAAGATTGTGCATTACTGTGATTTTATCATGGGCAAGGAAGTTAACATCCTCTTATCAGTGACAAAATAACAACAATTATTCCAGCAAGAAATGCAGTTTCTTGTATGTATGTGATGAGACTGCTGAAAGAGGGCCACAGCGTTCAGTCACCCATTGTTATATATTGCAGTCATTTCATAAACTTTGTCTTTTTGTCATATGATGCTAAACATATAGCAAAATTTAATACAAGAAAAAACAAAACTTTAATTTAAAAATTACTTTTGCTTACCAAATTGCCACCGCACCGACAATGCTAATTTCCATTACAGCCTGTAATGTTCTGTCTTGTTTAGCACCAAGTAAAATCGCCAGGTTTTTATGTTGGATGAGTAACATAGCAGAGACTTCCTCAGATGAACTAATGACCTAAAACTACACCTATCTGGTACGACTCCAGATGCTGGTGGAGACTCACTGACTCCTGCAGGTTTTTGTCCTCTTAAGTGGACAACATGCCAACATGTTCATCAAACAAATATATTTTAACTGTTACTGAAAATCAGCCTAACCTGTTCAGTGAAAAAAAGCCACCCCATCTCTGCTTTCTCGATCACGTCCTCAACAACGCGCCTTGGTTACAAGTCCGAGTCTCTGAAGCTTGAGGCGAGTCTCAAGTCTTTAGTACACAATTTTCAGCTGGAGATATTACGTTTAACAAAAGCAGACCTTTAATAAAACCAAGCAGATGGGACATGGTTTCAAATAACTAATCTTTCCCTACAGAAAAAAAACACAGGTCTGAAGGACAGAACTGAAGCCCAAAAAGCCATAAATGTGGCATTTAAAGGAAAGAGGCAAAACAACAAGAAATAATCAGAAACTTGAACAGTCTGTAGTTTATATAGCACTTGAGCTAGCTAGCACAATAACTCATCCAGCTGAAACATCAGTAAGTTTCATAGGAATGTGAGCTGTAAATTACTAACAACTTCAGTTAGAACAACTAGTGCACTAACTAGCACACTTGCTATGCAAACTACATGCTAGCCAACAGTTTTATGTTGTTTTGCCTCTTTTCTTTAAACACCACATTTACTGCATGTCCATCAGACAAAGTTTTTCTATTATGAAATGTTCTTATCTGAAGCTGTTTCAAACGAGACACTGCTAAGAGCTGCAGGAGAACAGCACTATAGTGATGACTGCAAAAGTCCACAGCAAGTCACAAATGAAAGTCTGGAAATTAGTGTTATTTATTTGCCGCATTATGGTTGGCGGTTCCTAATTTATTCAGTTTTGTGTGTGTTTTTTTTTTTGTTTAAAATTGTAAAAGAAGCCTCAAGCCTGAGTCGAGTTAAGTCATTTGACACACGACTTGAGTCTGACTCAAGTCCTCAGCTCTGGTGTATGAGGAGGTAACATCAGCACACTCACAGCAATCCTGCAGTGTTCTTTAGTTCCGCGATACTCTTCTCTGGAACCTTCCCGCCCCCAAACCACTTTTTCGTGGCTGAGAAGAGAGACCTACTCAATCCTTTCCTGGACACCAGCTAAAGGAAGAGAGAGTGAGCATCAGTGAAGCAGAGACATGCTAGACATGGACAGAGAATTAAGGCAGAGAAGAGCAGACATGAAAAGGGGAAAATGGAATGAATATGTTTCAACAAATGGGTCAGTCAAATTTGAGTTTGGCATGAAAACTGTATGCCTAATGAAAGCACTGCAAGTGGATGTGGATTTCAAAGTGTCAAATGGGTGAAGACAAAGTTCAGAGTAACTCTGAAGTGAGCAAATCCTCAGAGCTGAATTTCACAGTGAAAAGGGAACCACGCCGCAAGATGAAACACCATGTAATACTTATTTCTTACATTGGTGCCATCTTGGGGACAGGGACAGGAACAACTCACTATACGAGTTTACAAGTATTATAAGTATTATAAGTATTATCTCTATGTGTGTGCGCATGTGTAAATACCTGATCGTTGAGCTGGCGGATGTTTTTCTCTATGTGCGGTAGCAGTCCTCTGAAGGTGAACTCCTGGATGAACTGGCGGATACGGTCGTGGTCATTCAGTGTCAAGCAGGCTCCATGAGCTGTGGGGGCAGCACTAGGAGTCACACTACCCTGTTTCTGCGTCCTTGCCGTGTCAGCACTGTTCACTGCCTTGCTGGGGTTGCCAGGGTAACCGGGGTCAGCTGACTGTTCCAGCTTGAGCGGATGGATCTCAGAGACCACGTCTGAAAATGCAAGGACAGCACCAGGAGAATGTTAAAGAAACAATCCCTAAACATACATAAGCCTAGGGGTGGGCAATATAGTAAAAATAGCATATCGCAACACTTAGAGAGATTGTCACCATACTATCACTTTGACAAAGACAAAAAAATGCTATTAGTGTTGCATTTAAAAAATTCTATTAAACATTATGAACATCATGATCATGATACATTTCACACACTGTACTGCACTAAATCTAATGAAACAGGCTACTACTCTCTACTACTCTCTCTGTAATAAAACATGCTGTCAGTATAATTTAAGCACTGACGATAGCTACAATATGCTCAGAAACGCATATTGTGAATCACAATAACAAAAAGTACCACAATAATTATAAAATGTCATCACATTGGCTACCCCTACATATGTCAAAGTGATATTCAAACAGTTCCAATTAGCCAAGAGATATTTTGTGTCTAAACTTTGCACCTTTAGCTTCACACTGGAGCTGTAATGCTAATGTTGCTAATGGGCAATTGAAACTTATATCCCATCAATTAACATAACATAAACTGCACATAAAAATAATTACAAAAGTAGTCTCAGAGTTGCTTATGTGATCTGACATTGTACAGCACATTGTTATTTATAAAACAGATCATGCAGATATGACATAGTAGCAGTGCTAATTTCTATTTTTATAGATAACAGTCATGCTATATCAGAAACAACATATGCAATTCTATTTTAGATCACTTAACTGAAGTATCAGGCAGGTGTGAGATTTAGTAATGGTATCTGCATGATGCTAATTGCTAAGCGATGTACTCATGCACTTGGTTTACTGTTTGAGACAGCAGTATCCAAATAGTGAACTCACTATCTGGTTGTTTATTACATTTCATCACAGGAAAACAGAGAAACATACTGACTAATAATACGGTGAAACAGCAGTTTTTAATATGACTGTACAACACGGTGAGGTTACTCACACCTGTGAGCAAGTTTATTACATACAAATTTGCTGCTCTGAATTACAAGTGCTTTAAAGTGAGATCATTGCCAAGGATGCTTTGTTAAGGATGTGAATGAGAAGGCAGATGTAGTGCAGCGTTTTCCCCCAACTAGGCTAACTACTAGCTGATGTTAGCTAGATCCAAAAACAGTGTGTATTCACTTTGCCACAAGCAAAAATACTACTAGTTCTTTGATAACCTAACATGTTGGCACATCATCCACTGAGGAGTAAAGACCTGTAAGAAGATGCAGAGTCCTGATTAGCATACAGCCTTGCTCTGGTTAGATGCAGTTTTAGCTCATTAGCTCATCTGAGGCATCCTTTATTACTCATCCAACATGAAAATCTATTGATTTGCTTTGGCTATTTATGAATACTAAAACGTGTGCTGTTAAATGTTTGCGCAACATCAACGCTGTCACCTTAAGCTAAGTCTACAGCTTTAAGTTAACCTTTCATTTACGCTTTATGGATACAATTAGGCAGAATGCACATCACTATTAAATGCTGGGGTGAGTAAGGTCCGCAAAACTAACCAAGCCTGTTATAGATACCAAACATCTTATCAAACATCATTTTGAATTTCAAAATACTCCAGTATTTAATACAAGTGTACCTGATGAGTCAAGTCCGTCCACTTCTGAGCTGATGTTATTCTCCACATTATTCAGCACAGCTTCTTCATACTAGAAGATATTACACATAGTTTGGCCATAGGTTGAAATTACAAAATGTTTTGGCAGTAATGCTGGCTGATCGTTATGCAAAGCTGTCACAATGAGGCTGCAGGCAGCACATGTGGTTGTACTGAGCTTGTAAACTGACTCACAGGGCTATGGATGTTGGTCTTCTGTAAATATTGACTCCAGGGATCAGGCATTTGTTCATCTGGTCCAGCAGCATCAGTTCTGGAATTGATCTTCAACAGGTAACAGCCTTGAGTGCCATATCTCTGCTTCATGTCCTCATACACGGAGTCCGCCCTGCACTCGAGAAGAGAGAAAATGAGACACAAAGAGAGACAGAGTTATCATTTTGGGATAATACATGAGGAAAAATAACACAAAAGTGAACTTGCGGACGATTTTAGTGTTTTTATTCTCTACAGATTATTTTCTAGGAGATTTTCTAGTTATGTAGTGATAAATCATATTCTCTTACATTTGGAGAAACAGGCAATGCCCAGAGAACCACAAGGAAGTGCATCAAGTTAAACTTGTATGCCACAAGCTCAGCCAAGGCTGTTTTCCACTCATAAAAGCAATACGCTTATCTCAATGGAATTAATAAAAGATTAGGTTATACTTTTTTCCTTGCAAAAAAACATTTTAGTACAAGACAAAGACAAAAAGCTCCACTGCTGATAAAATCTTTCATACTGCTGATAAACTCTTCAGTAAGTTTTAAGAATAAAACCCTTCAAGTAGAAAAATTCAATCGACGTAGTACCAGATTCTCTGTAGCCCTGTGAGCAAGAAAATACTTCATTAGGCTCTCAAAAGAAATTATCTTAAAAAGATATATATATTAATATTTCATTACATTTTCATTATTTTTCAACACGATCTTTAAGGAAATTAAGGAGCGACTGAAGAGGTTTATAAACCTGAAGCTAACTTTAAACACACTCCTTATGGTCTAACTTTTGCACTCATAAACGCAACAGTGGAAAAACATGATTCTTATTTAATCTTAATAACAGGAAACAGTCTAGAGATATGTAACCCTCATTTGGTGATTACATACACTCAAGCCCACCACAAACCCTGAATGCATGAACACACTTTAGAGGTGCTTCTAATTTTCTAGTTACAAGAGTCACACTTTAAATCTTTTTAATTCTGCAAGCTATCAGACGTTTGTACTCTGATGAGTAATCCAAAGTACCAAAAGACATTCATTTAACCAGATTTCTTCTCAGACAAGAAAGACAACATAAAATAATGATGCACCATTTTGATATAACAGAAAAAAAGCTTCAGACTTTAGTGTCTTAACACTTATGGAGAGTCTATGCTGTATATGTTCACAAGACACTGGACTCAAAAGTGGTGGAATGCACATTTAAAGTCAAAGCTTGGTTAATATTTAATAATAATAATAAAAAAAAACATTCTAGAGATACATCAAAGATATACAAGACTCCGTCTTTGACTACGCATGCACACAGACACAGACCTCTGTTCGTCTCCATCGCTGATGTCGTGAAGCAGGACATAGTATTTGAGGGTGTTGGGAATGAACCATTTGGGGTAGGTGTATTCTCCATTGTGCTGGATCCTGTGCTGCTCCTGAGAAAGCTTTAGAAATTGCTCTGTGGGAACGGCTTCACGAGACGACACCACCAACATGCCTACGCACTGCAGTGAAAGGAATACAGACTCTTCAGGAACGAGTGACTGAGGAGTGAGTCGCACGGCAGAGAGTTTTATGAACTTGCAGAGGATTTTAGAGTATTCAAATGAAAACGGAATTCCTTATAAACAGGGAAGCGCACAGAATCGCAGTTAACAGGTTTTACACACATTTGCTTAAAGCATTTAATTTACTGAGACTTTCAGTTATTTTAAGTTTGCAGTATTTTTGTTTACTAATGATGACCATTATTTGAGAGCATTGACTTTGCTTCTCAAATAAAATGCTCTAGACACCTTTCATACAAGAATAACATGTCAGTAATAAGAAAATTGATGAACAATAAAAATAAGAGAAATCAAAATTTACAATATTTCTGGTTAGGCCTGCCTCCATTGCTATAAATTACATTGCATTATACTACATAATATTTCATTTACTACACTGAATTATATTATCTTACTGAGACCGATGATCAAATATCACAACTCATAGTTGACAGCTAATTATATCAGTTCAATATTGATAACCAATAATATAATTTTGTATTAACAGTTTTTTATTTTTGTTAGTTAAATATCATGGATATTGTCAGACTTTCTAGCCCCTTAAAATCTGTGTGAACCAAATAATTAAAGTATCAGTTAAGCTCTAGAATGTTCCGAACATATAATAATGAAAAAGCTGGAAATTTAATTTGTTTAAAACTACAGAATATTTCCTAATAATAGGAAAATGGATAAAAATGTAAAAATCCAAACCACAAAAAAATAGAAACAAAAACTGGAATACTTCTCTTGGAATTCAGAAGGCACTAAGATATATATATTATATATATATATATATATATATATATATATATATTATACAATATATATGATATATATATATATAGAGAGAGAGAGAGAGAGAGAGAGAGAGAGGGGGAGAGAGAGAAAGCGGGAGAAAGACAGTGAAAGACAGTTAAAGGATACAGGCCAAGTAGTGGTTGAGGAACTCATGGTCTGATGCAGGCATGGACTGTAGAAAGTTCTCTCTATATGCTTCAAACCATGGTGTTGTTGCTGTAAAGCACACACACAAGCAAAAACTCACTTATTTATGTGCAACATTTCAGTGAAGCAATGCAGAAGGTGAAGCCCTCCTGCACACATTGGAAGTCCAGAGAGAGGAGGAGAGGAACTGCTTATCAAAAAGAGGAACGTGATTTAGACCTTAGGTCATCAGAGAACTCCACTCATGAGTGACAGAGAAAGAAAGCACAGAAGACAGACTTTGACACACGAAACACAGCAAAGCGCTGTAAGACATAACACAAGATTTAGATTAAACACCAAAAAATTCATTGTTTTCCATTTAAGACTGGAAATTCAAACAAGCAGTGTTTGAGAGCAAAATTATTATTAAAAATCTGAGTTGAGAGTGACGTCTCTCTCGAGATCCAAGTGCAGAGGCTGATCTGCTGGATATTTCATTAGTTGAACTGCACTGAGGAGGTCTCAATCAATTTCACAACCATTCATGTTCACTTATTCAAAACGCTTTTCTTTTAAAAATGTTTCATTTTCACATTAATGAAACAAATCAATTAAAAAAAGGATGAAAAAAACCAGAAACGTGAACAAAAATCTCTTTAACAGCCTGAAGTCACGTTGAAACAGAAGTGAGATACATCATGTAATCCCAAGACCTACTAGTACATGATTGCACAAATTTTAGGAAAGTCAAATATTGATGCAACAGCACAATGGGGAAGGGAAAAAAATTCAGCTGGCAAATCCCACTTACAGAAGTGAACCATTAAACAAGGACACAGGACTGAACACATCTGAATCATTCTCTGTCAAACACAAAGCTATTATGAGGTTCCTTGAACATAATTGAAATCTTCCTGGTTTGAAACTCTTAGAACAAAGGTGCCAAAAAGAACTGGCATCAACAGGTATCAATATCAGGCTGATACGCAGAAAAGGTTAAATTGGAGAAAAAAAAAAAAGAATGAATCTAATCCAAACCTGTAACAATTCAGGTCTGAAACAGCATATAGTCACATTGTGAGATGTGATGTTAGCTTACTATTTCTTCCTGTGGGATTGTGTTTTTAAAAAGTTCTTACATGATAGTCTACTTTTAGATTCTCATCGTAAATGAAGTGCTTCAATTTCAAAAAAGCTCATTTTAGAGCTCAGTAGTTGTTAAAAATGAAAAACCAGATCGGTATCCGTACGTGCCGATACTCAAGGTTCCGAAATTTTAATCAAACCAATTGGTTGAAAAAGCTTGAATATGGGCTTTGAGATTGTATAATCCTTACACAACCTTCTCAGCAGGTTTTAATTGATCAGTTTTGATGTAATCTAGCCCTTCATCAGTGGTCAGTTTCTGAAATACTACAGTAAAATTACTTCATTCTAGTACATACATTCTGAATAGATATGTTTAGATTTAGTTTTACTGACCTCCCTGAAGTGGCTACCATACAAAGTGAAATCTCTGATACGTGCATGGTGGTATATACCATTTGTAACATCATGAATTTACTGTGATTTCATGTTGCTCTAATGCGTGGGTAGTAATCCTAAGTAAAGTGAAGCCAGTAAAACCGAACATTTCCATGATCGTTTTGTTTCCAATGCTAAAAACGTGGTGGGAACGTATTTAGTGTGTGGTTTTGGAGGCATGACACTCGTGCCAAATGGCAGAAAACAGAGTAGATGTTTACGTGCCCATTTTTAGATGATAGGTGGCTAGGTCAAACACAGTACAAATACTGGCACCGCAGATATTACACATTTTCGTTTTTCCACCTTAAAGTCTTCCAGACTATAGACATTAAAATAGTCATTAAAATTGGACATTCTTAATATTTAGACCTCTAATAATGGAAAAAAAAATAATAATAATAATAAAAAAAAATTTCAGATATTTTATGACCTTACAACCTTAAATCTATTGCAAGACTTTAATACTTTTTAAAGTTTTTTTTCCCCACACTCATATTTTTGGTTCTTTAGGAAACCAAAAGTGGTTTTTCAACAGAATCGTTCAAAGAACACTTTGTGGCACCTTTATTTTTTAGAGTATTCATCTATCAGCATCTGATATTGCTAGCATTACAAAGATGTGTTCAGCCTGTAATTAATAAACATGTTCATTGACAGCAGCAGAATCTAAAGCAGCTACATCACATCTAGACAGAGGAAAGGCCAAGGAACTGAGAGGAATTTGAGAGTGAGTAAAATGACTCATGAATCTGAAACTTCATAAACACAATGAACTGTCTTCTAAATGCAGTTTCTGTGTGAGTTTGACCTTCAAAATGGCCATAATTGGAGATGAGGTGGCCAAATGAGACTATTAAAGCTATCTGTTCTTTAACCAAAAAACAGGGGGCTACAATTACAGACATAAATTAAATCACTAAAGTGAGATTATTTTTGTTTGCATCCACACAATGAGTCATTTACCTCCGTATCCTTCTATCACCCACACTCAGGCACATACTAAAGCTGCTACCACCACCCTGACAGGAGGAGGAGAAAAGGCTTGGAGACTAGAAAGGAGAGTTAGCTACAAATTTGCTACGGAGAGAAACAGGAAGCGATGAGGAGGAGGTGAATGAAGCTAAAAAAAAGAAAAAAAAAAAAAATATATAGTATATCTCTCTTTCCCCCTTTTCCCCAGCGCAGGCTGAATTGAGTACCTGTGTAGTATTTGGAGGAGCTGAGCTGGGTGAGCATTTCTTTCCAGTCAGAGTACCAGGGTACGCTCGCTTTGACCGAGCGGTCTGGGAGGGGGAGAAAGAGGCAGAGAGCCGGAGAGTCCAGTTAGAGAATGGTCAGAACACCTACAGGACAACAATGCCACCCCCAAACCCTCCCAAACTCTGCAGCAGGAAGCTACCAAAACCTCTTTAAAACTTAGGTCAGACTGATTAATCTAATATCTCATGAGTAACTGAGAATACACCACACTTTGCATTGTTTCTAACTGAGGAACATGGGCATCATTCTCTATTTATCATTGAAGTTTTAGAACCAACTAAACACACTTTGAAAGCAGCCTGGAAAGCAAGTATCATATACATCAGGGCTGCAACAAATATCTTGACATCCTCTGTTGAACACGAAAAACTGTCGACATGGAGTTTTATTGTACAGACCTGTGCACAGTTACAGTTAAAGAGAGTTATCACCAAAAGCAGTCACCAGTGACAGTACAAACCCATTATTTACAATTGGTTAAAAAATGCATTTATTGATTTATTCCATGCAAACTATACAAAAGACCCTGGTATTTTCTCACATGAACATAACTGAACATTTGAACTTGTTGGATGATTAATACCACATTTGTGTTTACTTCTAATAACTCACTCCAATGACTGGATTACACCCTTTTGTTTTTACTAATCATGGAGAATCTAGTTTTATTCATTGTGCACTTGCTTGGAGCATCTTTCAGAACAATTTAAAGTTCACCTCACTTTTATTCCTTAGCCAGTTTAAATGTTTATTATCAACCCATTTTCTAAGTTCACTTGTTTTTTTCTATTTTTATTGAATGAACTGCTTATCATTTTGCTTGTGTTTTTATTGTTTATTGCTTGGTCTATTTTTATTGATTATTTTAGTCATTATGTTCAATCTAACTTGCTTCATTATCATTTCATGTTGTCCTATTTTAGTTTGGTTTGGTATCTATGTTATGAAATGCTTTGTTTTTTTTTTACTCAGTTCTGTCAAAAGTGAGGATTTTCCTCAATATATTTCCAAGTCTAAATAAATGTTGCACCGAGTTGTACCCAACACTGATTGTTCTTGAAATGTGGATATTGAGCTGTCCTGGTTCAATGTGTCCAGAACTTTAGGTACGTATCATGCCTGTACAAAAAGCCACCTATGGTTCTGCATAGGTTAGGGCCTCCTCAGAGCACAGCGTCGGGTTTCACACATCAGACAAAACAGTTTTGGGTGTCACGTTTCAGTTCTCATACAATCAGGCTATTGGTAGCAGAAGTAATTTTGACACGGTTCCTAAAACGGAAGAGAACATGAGCAAAAGTAATAGCATGAGCTGAAGCTTAATCTTTGTAAAATAAAAAGGTAAAGCAAAGGAATCTGGTTTAAATACAGAATGCGGCTATAAGTATTGATCATGGTTATTTCATATACTCCATTTCCAACACAGGCCCCTTAACGCTGTATATTGTTCAGATAATTCATATGGCCGTTCAGACAGATCCCAAGACAGTACACGTTAAATGTAAACATGGCAGAAGAGAAGAAATCGCCTTGTCACAGTACTTTAACGATGGCTTAACAAAAGGGAAAAGAATGGCCTGATAGCTGCATTTGTCAAATAATCAAACAATAGTTAAGAGCTTAATCAATTACAGAATTAACTGCTAGTTGCAGCCCTAATGCATATGAGTTTCTGAAATGAAACAACACATTTCCCAAACACTGCTTTAACTGAGACCTAGAAACAACACCCCTCAAGAAAAGTGGGATTCTTCTGGTCAGTCCCACAAAGTTAATAAAGCACACACAATCTATGCACACAATGAGAACACCAACTCAAAGGCAGGTGATGCTGATGATCACCTTCCAGGTGCATAAGATTAGTCCCAGAATGTGGTGCGTTTTCTGAGTGAGCAATCAATTATTTTATAGTGTTTTATATTATTTTTCTTTTTTTTTAATTTTAAGTATTTTACTTAAAGAGTCAAACCAAATAGCACAACTCTCTCTCACACATACACACACGCGTTTGGTGGGCTGGATCCTGTCTTTGTGGTCCATTACACCAAATTTATTAACATCGAAAGAAATATTTCAGCAAAAAAAAAAAAAATCTATTTTACAGTTTTCCCTAGATGTAGTCAATCAGCCAAGACCTGCTTGATGTCCAAATTTTGCTTCTTTAGTTTAGTGCTGGAACTATGAGACTAATGTTGCTACCAACTAATCACTATTCAACCAAATCTCTTCCTTAAACACATCCCCAAAACTTCTTTCAACACACTCAAACTGCATCCATTCCTCAATAAGGTCAATGTGGTTTAGGACACATTATGATTCTGAGCTTTAAAAATGAAGAAAACCTCACCATGTGGTTGAACAGTGTGGTCAGTCATTTTAGACAACAGATGTTGTGCCAAATTCCAACTCCCCTGCAGAATCTTACTCCACCCGTGCACTTATGTCACGCAGGCATATGGAGTGGTTTGATGGATTTACAGAAAAGATTTGGGTGACCATTGACTTCTAGTGTTTTTTTAGCAATGGTAGCCTCATAGCTGCAGCGCTAATTTAAAGAACAACAATTTGGACACCCGATACTGAATCTGTATATTGCTCCGTCATAAAAACGTCTATTGCCAAAACTTAATGCAAACTTTGAGAGAGAAAGTGTTCTTAACTTTAATGTATTTTGATTAAAGGTGTAACAGTTTCAATATTTACTGAATTTGGCACAGTATATTAGAATTTAAATTATTTCAGACATAAAAGAGGCTTAAGACAAAGTTGTCTGTGGCTGTCCTGGAACTGAACATTATTCTGGCCTAATAATCAGGACCCATCCCACCAATGTATGCTGTGTCATATCAAATAAACAAAGCACTGGTCCACTGCAGTACTGGGAGCAGGGGCATTGTAAAAAAGGACTGGGTTAGGATGCAGTTAGGTTGATCCAAAAACACAGGGCAACTGTGTGGAAAGGAAAGGTTTAGAGCACTGAGGACAGAACCAATCTCAAAAGTGTTTAGATCTCCTAACACTCTGTCAGAGTTAAAGGCCCCATATCATGCAAAACAGTTTACAAAATAAGAGTTTGATGTAGCGTGTAAACACAACGTTAACACGCCTTTAATTCCACAATCCCATTTTAAATACACCACTTTTGTGATGTCACGAAGACCAACGCATTTATATATTCACCTATTCAGTCTAGAGCAGATTAGCCCTTATATTTACAATAAAATTATAAGTTACAAGTGCATGAGGCACAATACAGAAGAGAGGTCAATCAGATACATCAGCCTTAAAGGCACAGTAACAAAAACAGCCTGTTCAATTCCAAAGGATAAAATGAGGCTGGAAAAAAGTCATGTAAAAATTAACTGTGATGATTTTTTAGTACATAAAGCCACACAACTATCGTAAGTGGACTAACGATAAAAAGAAAGAAAGAAAACAAGAAAAATGTAGGATATGGGTCCTTTAACACAGACTTAACAGTTCTTAAAACACACACACACACACACACACACACACACACACACACACACACACACACACCCCCAGGCCTAACAAACGCATATCTAGGGAGAGAGTATTGGTGACAGTGAGTTCTTACCAGAATGTCATCCATATGAAAAAAAATTAAGAGATATGGAGGAAGACAAGACAAGTGAGATATGAAAAATAAAACAAATGAGTAAAAAACGAATTTACAAAACCCTTGGTAAGTAACTTGTTTTTCCCCTTTAATGGATTTGCTGCCCTCTCCTGGAAATAAGAGAAGACAAACAGCTTCTTTAGATACTGAATGTCCTTAAAAAGGTCTGAAACTCACACACTGTCCTGATGATATATGCAGGTTATCAAGTTCGGTTTATCATTAATGCCAAAGATCCATCAAGACTTTCTAAACACATACCTTATACAGCAGTTTCATGTTGTGATTACAGAATAATTCGGCAGTTGATGGATAAAAAGCCTTAAGATTTACAACTGAGCAGTTAGCCTGGAGTTTAAAAGGTTGATATGATAAACAGACAAAGAACGCACAATTTGGCATTTTAATGGAGTAAAAATAGATATATACATATACACAGTCACAGCACTTTCACTTTTACTTCCTGATCTCAGCTAAGCCAAATCCCCACCTCTCTGTGTGAGTGTATGCACATGTGACTCACCGCTGATGTTGAGGTCGTAGTCTCCTGCAGTGATGACATTAGCAGGTAGCCCTTCAGGAGGCTGGCAGGCAGACACAGCCTGGCTCAGGAGTTTGCGGACCTCGCCAGAGTTTGGCGGCCGAGTGTTAACCCCTGTCACGCTAATACGAAGCCCCTTCACCACCACCACCTGGTTATTGGGGTCACGCAAGTGACCTGCAGTACAGCAAAGCAAGACAGACAAAAAGCTACGAATAAGAAGATGCTTATAAATCTGACTTGTCAAAGTAAGTGTAGAATGCAAATGACTCCCTTAGTCAAATTACGTTGCTGAATTTAAGTGAAAATAAGTTCTCATCCTCTACAAAGAGCAAACTTCTGCACATTTTACTGCACAACTACTGTTTATTTGCAGAATTTAACATAAAACACAAAATGTGGCCTGCACAAAAATAGCACATCATATATTTTGGGTTTTTTTTTTCCCCAAAACGCTAAACTCAGTAAGCAAATTGAAACTGTGCACTACAATGTTCAGAAAATCTCATATTTAAGTTTGTTCTCTGTAGAGAACATATTAACTTATTTTAACAACAAAACAGGTAATTTGACCAAGGGTGTTCAAATTTTTGAATATGACCGTTTCTATTAAAACCACTGGTTCCTGATCTTGGTCCTACAGTAACTCTTTCACTGGGCATTTTGAGCTTTTCCTCGCTTTAATACACCTAACTGATAATAATAATCTAAATAATCAGCCCTTCCTACTAGATGTGGCACATCAGCAACAGCCAGGTGCAGAGTAAGTGACCATACCTTCTGACTATACAATTTTACAGTACATCTGAAATGTGACGACAAAAAGCAGAAGTGTTTACTAACAATCACAATCACAAGCTTTGTGCCCGTTAGCATCATCAAAGCCCATCATCATGATATCATAGCCTTCAGACACTCTGCTCTGCAAGTACAAGGGCAACAAGATCAGATCATTTACGCATTAAACAGCAGTCCACAACAATATAAATGGGCTGAGGTTATTTTAATGAAATGTAATGTAATTTCAGCAGGGACCCCCCCCCAAAAAAAGGACTCAACGCAACAAACATGGCAAAGCAAAAGGCCTCGCATTTAGATGGACGCAAGATGTGGAATGAAACATGAATTAAAATGAAGAAATGTCATCAGACAGATGACTGAAAAAAAACAGTTAAAAACGTTTTCAGCATGGAGAGAAGTGAAAACACTAAAATGTGCAGGGTAGAGGAACTTCAGGACCAGGGCTGGATATCACTAAATGATACAGTCTGATGCAGTACACAAACATTTCCAAAGTTTTAGGACATATTCATGATGTCAAAAAATAAAAAACAACACATCTGTTTATATCTGCAGTTTAGCACCGCCTATTCATGCTGAACAAAGCACTGTACAGGGCAGTCAATCACAACAGAGCTCACTTACATAAACCAGTGTTAAAGGCACAGTAACAAAAAACAGCCGGTTAAGTTTAAGGGACAAAGAGAGGCTGGAAATGGCCATGTAAAAATGAATTACGACTATTTTTGGTTTAAAAAAAAATGCAAGTGTTCCTGAGAGTGGAAAAATAATCAACATGAATTACAGAAAATGGGGCCTCTAAATGCTCTACAGTCAGTTGAGTCTTTTAATCTAAAAGGTAGTAAACATGCTCATGCAACACAAGAACAAAATTATACAGACTGTGATGATGCACTGAACATCTGCAGAGATAAGAATGTAACTGTAGAAATGCCAAACCCTTTGAAACTGGTCAAGCTTAATGCACAAGACCACCACTACAGTTCACAGACAAATATTCTTGTGTGTATGTGTGTGTACGCAAACCCAAGTAAGAGCAACACCACAAAACAAGCACAAACAAGGGCTGTTATCAGCTGCTAAACAGAAAATAATGCGATGAGACCTTGCCCTTTCTCTGCTGTCCACTGTTCCAAAACATTCCTGAATGAATCCAATTACATTAGCCACAGATAAATGCACAGGGAGACGTTCTCAGAGAAGGCAGCCTCTGTGCAACTAAAGTAAGGGGCTTTTCAAGCAGTATTTCGGCACCGTTTCTAAGAATCACACTCGCAGCTTGCTTTGCAGTTATCAGTTAAATGAATCTCTCTGAGGTCTAGAGGGATGCTGTATTATGACTGACATACGGATCTGACCTGACACTGTGATGCATAAGCATGAACTGAACGATGTTGACAGGCAGAACTGGCAGCCCTACACGGAGCACAAGAGCAGCCTGACGGACAACAGTGGTCTACTATGTTAACAAAACAACTTGAGAGCAAACTCTCACATATGTATGACCACTGTCTGCAATGTAGCTGATAATGGTAAAAGCAAAAACAGCACCATTTAGATACGTTTTCCTGAGATGAGGTCCAGCGCTGATGCCAAGAGCGAGGCTGGCTGATGCCAAAACTCAGATGAAGCTGCCATTGAATTTGACATAGGTCATAAGTATTATACTTATGATGGAGCATTTCCTTCCTTAATGCATCTCTCCAATACAAACTGAAGGTATATGCCCAAAAATACTATATGCTGGATTATACTACACACTCTTGGTGCTGTCCAACATTAACAGGACTCTAAAGGCAGGCGACAATTTTTTTCTACTGAAAATCCCATCTTTCATTGATCAGGAATGACAGACCATTGCAATTTTGTTACGTTCTGTTTTCTGAATTATGCATAATGTACTGAGTAAAATTAAACATTCTCTATTAAAACACTGTTTCGCCATCGGTGTCAGGAAGAGATACAGAAATGTAGCTAACGTTACATTTCTTTGACGATACCTAAGTGGGTTGTTGCTTTCCACCGTTTTCAGCTTAAATGCAGCCAAAAGGGAACTCGGGAAAGAAAGAAACGAAACAGCTAGCTTATGTCTGAAATGTGCCTATACTGCGAAAAGAACACAAAAATACGACGACACTTTAAAAAAATCAGTGTCGCTGAACACTGGTAATGATTTTTTCATAAAAGCCTTTTCCTCGTTACCACTACACGAGTGAACTATGCTCCTTTGGGATTAGCTTGTGTTTATTAGCTAAAGAGGGTGTAGCCGGGCGATTAGCTTAGCGGCTAGCTCCCGAACAGAGCCGGTTTGTGTCCTGCTGGCGGAGCTCCTGTCGGTTTAGGGCCTAAGTTCAGTCACAACCGAAACGAGTCAGCTAGAGCCATTAAAGAGAAATGTGACATTTGATCTGGGTAACCTAACCGCTCAGGTAACCGACAGGCTGAGCGGAACAGAAACAGGGCCCTGAGCTCGGAGTGTCTGGAGCGAGAAGCTCCTCCTGTCAGCTGGCCGAGTGAGGGAGCGCCACTGCGCGTTAGCAGCTTTTGCTAACTAACTACAACTTAGTGCCAGTTGAGTGTTTTTATGCGGCCCTTATCCGCGTTACAGCTGAACACGAGCCCCTCATCCGCCGCGTCTTCACTAACAGGTCCAAGAGGGAAGGCAGAGCTCTCACCCTCCGAGGTCAGCCGGCAGAAAGGGCGCAGGAGCTCCGGGAAACTCAGGTTGTTCTTGCGGGTCACTCTCTCCGCGTCTTCGCTGCACAGGACGGACACCATCGGCACAAACGAGTCCTGGATGAACTCCTGCACGGACTGGGCGCACTGAGCCATGGCGCCGCTCCACCGGGCAGTCTGAGCAAGAACCGGGAGGCGGGCGGGTCGGACGTGTGCGTGTCACCGAGCAGAGGAACCGCTTCAGAGTTAAAAACAAATCCCCTACTGACAGCCCTCAGCAGCCATGATGGGCTCTACACTCCTGCTGATCGATTTAATTCCCGTCGAGCACCGCGACTGTCAGGTGATAGCAGAGAGTTAGCCTACAATTCCTATACTTCAAAATAAAAGCTAAATTTGCTACACGAGTTTCAGAACAAATGCTAACATAAAAGTCATTATAAAACAGATGGGCCTAGTAACCCATTTTGGATGTAAAATATTCAGTGGTGGACGAAGCACACAAATCATGTAAGCTGCTTGAGTTAAAGTAGAGATACCCAAGGTAAAATATTATTCCAGTAAAAGTAAAGTCCTCCCTTTAGACCTCCACTTGAGTAAAAGTACAAAAGTATTTGCCTTCAAATGTGCTAAAGTATCAGAAGTAAAAGTACTAAAAGATTAATTATGGCTCTAATGTCCAATTATCATTTTTGTAACAAGACTCTCGCTTCATTAACTCATTTTAGGGGAAAATACTCCAGTGTCACTCTTGGTGAACCAGACTTTTAATAGAATGTCATTAATTCGTCAGTCACTGATGCCTATTAAAACTATCAAAAGCACAAAACACTGAAGGCAGACAGTTTCCATTGGGTAGAACCGAGTGGCTCTGAAATAACTTTTTGCAAACAAGCAAAGTTTCAGTTTAAGATTTATTTGCAGCTTAGTTACAAGTTTAAGTTTAATTAAAACCTGCTTTAAACACAGGTTTACAAATGAGTTTTCCTTTACTATATTGCATCTGTAGGTCTCTGTTCATAAACATAAACTAGCCAAAACAAATTTACTATAAAATGAAATAGTGTTTGTATAAATTCAGAAAAAAAGACACAAGCCAGTCACAACTGCATAACTGTACATATTTCTATATTGTGGTCTATTTACACAAATCATTTAGTTCCATCACCGTGTGCTTCCACCGTGTGCTTGCACTGGGTCGGTATGTCCAACAGGTCAAAACAAGCTCAAAACTAAGTGTGCACTGTACCCTGATTGGTGTGTTGCTTCACACTTCTTTTGCTTTGACATGTTTTTTATGCACACATAATGCAAAAGGAAAGCCAGATTTTGCATAATGTAGTGGAGAGTGGAGTAAAAAGTAAGATATTTGACTTTGAAATGTAGTGGAGTGAAAGTAAAAAGTCGCCCAAAATGGAAATACTTCAGTAAAGTAAAGATACACAAAACAACTACTTAAGTACAGTAATGAATTACATTTACTTAATTACTGTCCACCACTGAAAATATTGTATACATACACAAACAAACACACACATATATATATATATATATATATATATATATATATATATATATATATATATATATATATATATATATATATATATATATGTATGTGTGTGTGTGTGTGTGTGTGTATGTATATATATATATACTATATATATATATATATATATATATACATATATATAATTCTGCAATCTGATTCAGAGTCTGGTCCTGCATTCTGATTGGCTGTTTAAATAGTACCTTTTAATTTGTCAGTTGAAAGCTGCAGTATAGTAATTCCATCCTATTTTCATATTGGCTAGGCTACTTCAATCTGTCAGTCTTATTGGACTTAAACTGTCATGTAGGTATTTATACTTCCAAACACAAAATTAAAACACAATCCACTTTGGATATGGACAGAGCCAGGCACTAGAAATGGGCTCTTGGGGGCATTGTGCCTGTACAAGGTAAGCTTTCTCAGCTACAATTAAAAATATCTGATTTGCCGGTCAGTGTAAAGACCTATGAACAACTATGAAACCATTTCAGACCATGGTACTTTCCATGTACTCACTATACTATCTCCATTCTTTGCTCATGCATTCTTTTTGTCAATGTGTCATTTATGATAATTAATGACTTAAATATTTTGGTCCCATCCTTTTTATTATTTATGTTTTCCTCTTTGATGGCAAGCAAGCATGTCAACATTTATAAAAGTTTTTATTGTGTTTAAGTGCTATTTTTACAGTGACTGTTGTACAATTTTTTTTCATATAAAGAAAGCTGCAGTTGTGCTGTCCATTTTTAACTCGGCACGGTCGTCTTTGTGGAGAGGTGTGAATTGTTTTCACAGCAGGAGGTTCTCACTCTTCCCCTTAAACCCCTCACTAGCAGTTTAATTTCACACAGGGAGCCAACAATGTCCTACTGGAATATTGTGTATTTGGTTATGATAATTGAAACATTAAAAGAAAATCAGTTTCCATTCTGTGTCTTATTGTATTTCAGCAGTGTTTCTGATGTCTGTCTGAGCAAAGGGACCAAATCCTGTTCTCTCATGTGTGAGGTAAGAGTGTTACCCTCTGCACCTGAAGGCATTTGACATTGATAGTGCTGACAGAAGCCTTGATCTCACCAGAAAAAACAACCCCATCTTGTGGATTAAGAAAGCAGTGCATTTAACATGTTAACCTTTCAGTCTAAAAATAGGCTGCAAACTGTAGTATCCGGAGTTCCATGTGTTATCTGACTTTGCAGGTTTGGAATGTTTAAGTTAGGGGGCCCCTGGTCCAAAGGTCCAAGGGTCAAGGTCCCCCTCCCTTCCTCTCTTAGTTCCAGATAGATGAGATCATTTTAAAAAAGGACAATATGTTCTGTTTCCTTTTTCGAAAACAACCACCCTATATAAGCAGTAGGTTATACTGTTCTGGAGGGGAGACTTCAGAATTGGCACGGATCCTCTCTCAGGTATTTTATAGTGCTTGATATGATACTGTTTTACTTTGTAATAAACATATTATACAAACAAGACAGCATCAGCGTAGACTTCTTCATCATCTTCATATCATCGCTATTTAATAAACAACAGGACACATTAAATTATAAAAAATCTACTTTGTGTGTCAGGGTATTAATACTATTTTTCAACCTGAAATATTTACATTTTAGACTGTATAAAATATTGCAATTTTATGGATGTGAAAGCTGTATGTGTGTTTGTGTGTATGAAATATGTATGTATGTATGAAGTATGTATGTATGCCTTATTGCCTTATATGACCAAGTGGCCAAACAAACAGCATTCTCTGTGCTGTACTCTAGCCGTAAGTGTATTTTAGTCATACATACATCAAAAAAAAAGGTATGAAACTGTAAATAGGGTGGTACCTTCAAGGGTACATCTCCATATGTTACCTTTAATCAGGGAACATAATTGTACCATAATCCATTTAAATAATATTTTCTAAGTTGAACTCACTCTATGTACCCTTGTCTCATCTCCAGGCTTTTTATTTTATTGTTCTGTTTTAAAACATTAGGTTATGAAAAGGTACAAATACATACTTTTCCACTGGGAAAAATTTAAGGTTCACAAACGAACTTTCACACCACTGTTGTACCTTTGAGGGAACATTTACATTGTTTGTACCTTAATGAATAAAAAATGTACCTGCATAGCACCTTTATTTCTAACTAGGTTTAATTTCTGGTCTAACTTGGTAATACAAGGAAGACAAGTTAACCAAATAGGTGTACGTAATATTAGCTCTAACATTATCTCTGGATCATTTCTTTGCAGTAGTTAAGTGCTCTAACTTTCAGGTTTGGCCTGTTCTCCTTATATGCTTCTATGAAAACAAGGTTTGCATGCAGATTTATACGTATGAGGAAGTTGCAACCTTTACACCAGCTGTGGTAAACACCCTCGAAATATGTGCACTGGAAAATTACCCAGAGAGGCATATAAGCATGCTTGTTTTGCTTTCGATTGAGTTTGGCTTACACAATGGAGACCATGGACAGCTGTGAGACAGAGGATGAATGCCCGGTTTGTAAGGACATTATTCAGAATCCTTCAGAGCCATCTTCATGCTGCAGAAAAGTGTGAGTAAAAACTAGGACAGCAGTCACTGTTCTTCATTACAGTCAGATGTCTAATACATGAAAAGCTTATGTCAGAGCTGTATGCATATGCCCAAGCAAAAGTCTTAAGGTGGAGTTAACACAGAGCGTGTGAGGATATACATATTTAATATTTTAGTGTTCTAGGTTTAGTGTGAGCCTGTGGTGCCTGTAATATTTTGTATTATGTTACATGTTAACATAACACCTATCAAAGTTTTGCAGTATCTTACCTAACAATCTAACATTGCCCTCGCAATTTGTAAGGGGACTTTGAAATACCTTATTTTGGTAAGTTGGTTTATTCTTTCTGTATTTAATTCTTTAAGAGGTTTATGGAATATTTTCTGCAGACGTCTGTCTGTTTATCTCACTGACTGCCCACACATGATTTCTGATAAACGTGAATCCATTCCGGGCAGCCTTAAAATGAAAGTGCTCTGGGGGGAAATTCCAGCACAGCTGAACACGTTGATAGTGCTGGAGTCCAAGTAATATATTGAACTCTGCAGATGGTTTCTTACAGTATTGTATTACTATAGAACAGCTATGTCATACAAAACACTATATAATCTTCTAAAAGGGTCTAAAAAGAATTGAATGAATTTTGGTTTTTAGTGCAAAAGTTAGATTCAATTTTCAGAATCAGGAAACATATTTAAAAGAAATTTACACAAAAGCCTCAACAACTAAGTATAATTTCACTTGTTCAATATTTGGTGTGTCTACCATTTGTCATTTTTAAAGCTTGCATTCTTTTCAAGAGGCTTGCTTTCAGTTTCTAAAGGAAATCTGCAGGGAGATTTTTATACACCTCCAAAGTTTCCAAAGGTTAGTCTTAGAAGTTGGTTGTGTTTTCTGATTCTCACAATCCAAATATCTCCAAACACATTTAGTGTTGTTTAGGTCTGGACTCTGGGGTGGTCAGTTCATTGTTCTGAGGACACCAGTAGCTTTTTTCTTATTTCTGTTGTCTACTTACTTTTCTCAGTAACAGCTTCTTGTGGCTACACATCCTGTCAGACCCATAGCATTGGGTTGTTTTCTCACAGTGGAAGATCAGAAACTAAAGTGGAGCTTGATTTTCTCTTCTCTCTCAAAGACGAAAGCGTTAAGTTCTGGTTATCTGATGAAGGCGGTTTTAGTGATCTACCACTAAAAGGTTTTGCACAGTTGTTAGGCATCCCATTTTCAGTTTTGAGATCTAGTTTTAGAAGCTCCTGTTTTTTTCCTTCCTAGATAACGCATGATTATTTGTCTCTCTCTCTAGGTTTTGTCAGTCTTGTCTAACACAGTCCACCAGAGAACGGCAACACTGTCCCCACTGCAGGACCCCAATACCTGCCTATGGTGGCTTTACTTCCAGGGTGAGTAAATATTTTTCATCTTGAAATCTTTTTCTAGACTAGTAATGCTAAGAGTGGTCAGAATGGCCCATAATGGAGACGATCTATTCAAATTTTGTTTATTCTTCCATTCAGGAACTCTTAAGGTCACGCCCAGTTTAGGCTTAAATTCAGTATTGTTTGTGAAAATAGGTAATTTTAAATCAAACATAATAAGTGTCTTGGCTGTACATTAAAACATCCTGTCATTTCTCTCAGTCTGCCAGGATTCCCCGCATTCACCTGCCAGGGCTCGCAGATGACACCTTCAATGCTGCACGACCTGTTGGCACCAACGTACAGGAGTGAGTCTTGAATGAATTTAAAAGTCAGCTGAAACAGATACAGAGAAAATAGTTACTCCCTTAAACTACAAAGGCCCATATGAGTGGGCCCACACTTCACTTCCTCACTCATAACTATATAAAATAAAAATCCTGCACAGTCAGTGGACAAATCATGGTATTAAAATAATAAATCTGAAAATATATAACTGAAATATGGATGAAGTAGACATGTTGATTTTTAAATATTGAGACAGATAGAAACCATTATAGAGTAATATATAGAGACATATGTTTCTACAAATGTTCCAGCATATTTTTTTTTATTGCTTTTGTTTTGTTACATGTCCACCCACAGTGTCCTCAACCGGCTTAGACAATTGCCAATGCCTGCAGTACCGGCCAATCAGGTGGCTGCAGCCCCAGCTGCACAGGCCACTCCACCTTATTCTGCTTTACGTCATCAGGGAAGGCCAATTCCCAGACCACGTGTTCGATCCCGAGCACGAGCGAGTGTAGCTGCTGCTCCAATTGTCCTTGTCATTAACCCATATGCCTTTAATATCCAAGCAGCCCCTGTTGCACCAGTTGCCCCACCCCCAGCTCTATTGATTGGTCCAGCAAACCCCTCCCCTCTCATTATACCAGACTCTTCATCCAACGAGATCGATGAAATGTGAGTTTACTGCTTCTGTTGGTCCCTGGAAAAATCAGTTTTACAAGGAATTTGGCATAATATTGTGTTTGAGATCTTAAAGGAATACTGCAGCATTTTTCAACCTAATCTCACATCATCGCTGTCCAAAGAAAACCATGTATCTCAATTTTTGGCAACTTTTATTTTTCTACATCATTTGAACACACCATCTGTCCTTTATGTTGTATAGAAATTTCATGATGCATGGACCAATAGAAATGCCTTAAAATCACTTGGAATAAAATCTCTTTACATTGACTTACATTGACAGGTAAGAGTGTTTTTGCCCTCACCTGTAAAGTTAATATTTTGGAGATACTTGTTTTCCTTTGGACAGCAACGATATATAACATAATGTTGATCAGAACGTATCCTCTGAGTACTTATTAAAAAAACAGAAAACCCTTGAAATCCCCAGAAAGCACCTGTCACTTGACTTCTATCATAAAATTGTTTCGAATTAATGTTTTCTGCGTTTTTACTAAACACACTGTAAAAATGATCCTAGCTAAAAACAAAAACTTAAGTAACCTGGCTTAACTTTAAATTTTTAATTCATTGAACTTCTAATGTTAACAGAACAAGCAAACTTGTTATTTGAGTATTCAGCAAACTCAAAATTTTAAGTCAAGCCAGGTTACTTACTTACCTAAAAAGCTGCATAATTTTTACAGCATACAGGGAAATGTTTATATCTGGAAATTGAGTTTTACTCTATGATACAGTTGCAGCAGATTAGGCTGAAATGGTACATAGGTTGAAATAGTACTTGGATGGTCATTTAACGTTACAGTAAAACCTGTTTCTCGTACAGGGCTTGGAGAACTGAAATTGCTCTCTTGGAAAATGCACCTAGACAACCTTCAAGGTAAACAGGCCCACTCATACTCACAGTGTCCACAAATATTTGATATCTGCAAGAGCCGTTTATTTTTACAAATACTGCCACCTGATTCTTTTCTCCTTCTCGTCCGCTCTTTCTCTCACAGCCCCTCTGTGCGAACATTCCGTTGCCCATACTGCCAGCAGGACGGATTGGATGATCTAGATCTGCGAGATCACTGCAACGCCAACCATCTCAGTGACACCAGAAGTGTGGTCAGTGACAGTTAATGAGATTAATAAAGAATTCCCCTTCTTTCCCCTTCATTATAACATAGTGAATATCATGTCAGTGATACTGAGTAGGCTAAGGTGGTGGAGGTGTGAGACTATGTGTGCTGTCTGGCTCTCTCTAGGTGTGTCCAGTGTGTGTGTCACTGCCTCATGGTGACCCACTGTACCACAGCAGGGACTTCATTGGCCATCTCAACCTACGCCACTGCTACTACATTGAGGACATAACTGTGAGTTACATATGGCGCGTTTTTTTTCGCCGGGCAGCAGAGTGCAGTACGGTTACAAATCCGTGATCAAGCACTATAAAAAAACTGCAGCCAAAATTTCTGTCTATGACTCCTCATATAAAACTAAACGCAGTAAACAGTAAATCAGAGCTTGATGTGATGCAAATTTGCACGTGACTATACAAGCCAGAGAAACTCCTACGCCTACTTTCACCTACCACAGTACGGATGATTCTACGTTTGAATTTGTAATCGTTCCGTGCTGTACTGCACTGCCCGGTGCTATTGATACAATATTACTTGAGTAAAAGAACCAAAGTACTTGGTTGTGAATGCACTTAATTGATTTATTGTGGATATTGTTTAATATTATTTTAATGAACTAAGTATTCAGGAGACCTGTGTTACTACTAAATCAGTTTTCCATGTCTTTAGTCAGATAGGTCATTTTAGTTTTTTTATTTTACAGAAGTAGAAATATAGATAGAATACTTGTACTTTTACTATTTTACCAAGAGTATTTCTACATTTATTCAAGTACAGTCATACTGTACTTCATCCACCTCTGTACATACACACAGCATACTAACAGTGTCCAATTGTTTCTCTGTTTGACAGAACATCCACCAAAGTGATGATGTCAACTTGCAGGCTGCTATACTGATGTCACTGACGCAAGCCAATCAGATTGCACGCTGAAAAAATTCTGAGAAAATTCCAGGGGTGGAAATACTCAAGTGACTGCCCTTTAAGTATTAGTATGAAAAATCTGTATCTTAGTCAAGTGTTATAAAATTAAATACTTGTGCTCTTACTCAGTTACACTTTTAAGAGCAGAAGACATACTTTTTACTCCCTACATTTTCATTTAGGCCTTAAAAGTACTGTTTGTACTACTTCAAAGTATTACTTTTATTTTTCTCCAGGTAATCCGTTGAGTTCTAGAACATTTAATTTAGTCTTTTTTTTAATAACATCATCTAAGCAAAATTCCTACCAGTGTAAAATGAAACTACCCACAACTATGCTAATTCATATTTAACCCTTGTGTGTTGTTGGGGTCTGTGGGACCCATTTTCAATATTTACCAAAAAAAATGATATGATTTATTATTATTGCAGAAGATATTGAAGAACATAGAAAATAACACATTTTCAGTGACCTCACACTGTTCACCCCCTTAACATTTATATTACACAGGTGGTGTTGGGTGAAACTGCTGGGAATAAAAGTGTGGAGGTGCTGTGTCCCTTTACTCTGTAGTCCTCCGACATGGCCTGCTGTTAGTGTGTGTGTGTCTGTGTGTGTATGAGGGTGCATGGACAGGCTGCTGACTGGCTACAGCTGCTAAAGGAGAACCCTACGCTGGCCACTTGTGACATTTTAAACATCTGATATTTTTACATAAATTGTTATGGCTGTGTGGATTTAAAAAAAATAATAATATTGCAGTGGGTCCACCAGACCACTGAGTAGCAAACACATCAACACCACACAAGGGTTAAGGATCAGTAGCACTCATTAGTCGCCACGTTATCCCAGCAGTCATTGGACGGACGACAAGAAACACCCTGGATGGGTCACCAGTCCATCACAGGGCAGAAACACAGACATTTTGGCTCCAAACATCCACTTTAAATTGAATAAAATTTTGATACAGTACTCATACTTTTACTGAAGTACAGTTTCTCTGCACTCTTTCTGCCCCTGGAACATTTGGAAAAGTTTGAGTTTTGTGGCATTAGTACCACAAAGAGTGCCACTCTGAACCACTGGCTCCTGATTATTATCTACAAGAACGTGACGGATACAGTACAGTTGTAAAAGTACAAAATGCAGCAAATAAAGTTTGGGATGCTTTTCAAATGTATTTCAGCAGCAATAATCATAAATCAGTGATGATCAATCATTGTTTATTTGCACTTCTGAAGAAACAGGATGCCTTTAAAATCAAGGGAGCTTTTTGTAATACTTCATGATTGAATGCCTTTGCATATTTCTTGTCATGTCTAAATGTCTCAAATGATAAATATATTTGCACTAGCGCTAATTGCACTTCTCTTGCAGACTACTGATAGTACAGTATGCTTGAGTCTTTATGTATTTTATTGTAACTGAATTTTTCAATATGCACAATAAAAAAGGTCCAAAGTGTCGGAGTGAATGTGTGTCTGTGATCAGATCTGCATATGAGATAACAAACCATATGATAGCAACACAAGCTAATCAGAAAAACTACTGAAGCATCACTCTTTGGGTCAACACCATTATTATTAATAACCGCATTTACCCTGTTGCATAATCAATAGCAGCAACATCAGCCTTTACTCTCTTTATCAGTACTCGTTCTTATCACTGCCACCTCATCACTTTCCATTCTTTTCTGTATATGATTTACACAAACACAAGTGTGTAAAGTGCAGAAGAGACACAAAAGCAGCATTCACACTCACGCTGAAGAAGAGCGGCGGCAATTATGGCCTCTTATGGGACATTTCTGCTTCTCTGCTTATTTTCTGCTGAGAATCTGTGTCTGGTGAGTTTAAATTCACTTCTTTTATAATTTATAATTCAGTGTGCATCTGTGGAGGACAACTCTCTACTGAATGGATATCTAGTATATTTAATGAAATTGAGATTTCTGCAAGGATTTTTCCAATTAAAATTACAACAGTGTTGCTACAAAATGCCCAGTAATGTTCACATAGTTAATATTATACACATCAATTATGCAAAAAAATTATTTACATTGTTTATGTGAAGCCAAGAAAATACTGTAAATAGATATTATAGTACATTGTTTATTGCTACAGTATATTGTTGCTGTTTTATAAAGAATACCTAGCGTCAAGCTTTTGGGACAGCAGGAAAAATGTAAATAAAGACAGGAATGATGTGCAAATACACACACACACACACACACATATATATATATATATACATATATATATATATATATATGTCCATGTGACCATGTGTTGAGCTGCTAGCAAGCAATGAGGAGGAAAGGGGAAAGGGGAGCGATGAGGACCCCCTGCTGTAAACACAATTCTCTCCACAAAGATGGGCCTGCTGACAAAACAGACAGCACAACTGCAGCTTTCTTTCTTGTTCAACTACCACAATGAAAAATAGCATTCATTTATTTATTTTTTTTTTCATATAGGCAACTTCTTCACTCACAGGTAACACTTCTTACCTGTGTATTACAAGATATTGATAATTGCTAACAAATAATTATATCAGAAAAATGTAATCTTGATATTTGATCTTTTGTGGTATGTTTATTCGTTTGATATCAGGTTTTACAGAGGTGGACGTGGATCATGGGAAAGACTGGGATATATTTGACATAAACAAAGGTATGTGAGCGATGTTGTTTTGTAATAGCGCATGCTTTCCAAAACAACAATGATCTTCTTTCATTAATGTGATCAGCGACTCACCCCCAATATCTGTGCAACAGAAGCAGGACTTGATCTGGTAGATGGCGACATCATCATTGATGAGGTCAGTATATTATTTCATACACATTTTTATTGACAATGCTTTACATTATATCACATGTTCTTTTTTTGTTTTGTCATTGTCTCATTCTTGACCAACAACTAAATTAAGTAGTATTAGGAAAAATGCCACAGGATTCCATTTTCTATTGTATTTTTGAAGATCAATAACCAAAAAGCTGAATTTTAAATGATGAAGTAAGTGACAAAAGTCAGTTTTTAGTTGTTTGGTATGATTAACTCGAAATGTTATCAGATTTGCGCTCAGAGAACATACTGACTGAAGAACATGTAAAATTTCAGATATGGACGTTAATAGGTTAAAGATCATGAAAGTATTTGCTGAAAAAAATCATATATAGCAAGTGAGGAGATCATTACATAACTTCACATTCTTCTGTTTACCTTTCTACTGATAATACCAAACACTATAATTCATCACTATTTGAATAAAAAGTGTTCAGTTTACTTTAGTCTACATCAGTAAATGATTAATAATGCTACAATACTGTGTTGCAAATGTCAGCGTGCTGAGAGTAAAACTGTGGAATGTTTGTGGTCAACAGGCAGAGGGAAGAAACTCTATTCTGGGTGAAAATTATCGCTGGCCAACCACTGTACCATACTACCTCGAGGACAGCTTGGGTAAAAGTCTACAATATAATTTCACTCTACTGAAGCCATAACCCACTGTTAGTGTAAATGTATTGATTAAGATGCAAAAGGCAAAGACTGATCACATAGACCAGCACTTGTATGCTAGGAAGCCTTAAAAATACCATCATTCAGCCAATTTTAGTCTAACATATTTGCTCAGTGTTTGTTCTGATTTTGTGTGTGTAGAGATCAATGCTAAAGGAGTGATACTGAAGGCGTTTGAGCAGTACAGACTCAAGACTTGCATTGACTTCAAACCCTGGAGTGGCGAGCCAAACTACATTTCTGTGTACAAAGGTTCTGGGTAAGGAACATGAGACATCTGAAGGGGTTTGTGAAAAGCACATGTGAGATCTAAAATGGCCTGGTAAGGAATTTGAGAGATCTTACAGGTTCTGGATAAGAAACATCTCTCAGGGAGAGATCTTAAAGCAATAATTTGGCAATGCAAATCAAATTTGCTCAATTTTCCACTTCCCCAAAATGCAGCCAGTCAAAAATGGAAAAAAGTATGGAAAGCCGTGAAGCTTTAAGATGGGCTCTGCTGCTGCAACGCACTTTTTTTTTATTTTAAAGAGGCTGTTTCAAAATGTAAAGGATGTTACTCTCTGCATTGTCAGGTGTTCCTCCTCCGTGGGGAATCGGCAGGTAGGGAAGCAGAGACTCTCAATTGGCCAAAACTGTGATCGTCTGGCAACCGTGGAGCATGAGTTTCTGCACGCTCTGGGTTTCTGGCATGAGCAATCTAGAGCTGACCGAGACGACTATGTCAACATCATTTGGGGCCAGATTGAAGAAGGTAAACTACCGTTCAGAAGCTTCACTACTGTTTTGACTAACATAAAACCAAATCTGTTGCAGATACATGTATAAAATGAATCTCTTAAGATGGTGCTAATCTATAATTATAATTTTCAATCAATTTGTTGGAAGCTGTGTAAAACGAGGAATGTTTAGATTGTTGAGAATGATGAACAGAACTGTAGATGATTCCATAATGACTGATGAAGCTGCATATCATTGAGAATGACATTACAATAAAAATAACAACCCAAATGCCTTGTATTTGAAAAATGTTGATCAAATCTCAAAGACAGCGTGTCAAATAGTTATTATAAAGAATTGCAGTGTATTTATGCTGTATACCATGTAAAGTGTATAATATCTGACAACATATGTTCCCAAAACACTAAATAATATATCCTAAAATATTGTCTAGTGTCTCGCTTACACCCTTTTCAAAAAATGGTTCTTCACCTGTTCTTTAGTGAAGGTAATGTTAATAAGTTATGTGTTCACTGACCGGCCACTCTATTGAGTACACCTCTTTGTTTCTGCACTCACTGTCTATTTTATCAGCTTCGTTTACCCTATAGGTGCACTTTATAGTTCCATAATTACGGACTGTAGTCCATCTGTTTCTCTGCGTTACTTTGTTAGACACCTTTTATCCTGTTCAATGATCAGGACCCCCACAGGACCCCCACAGAGCAGGTACTATTCGGGTGGTAGATCATTCTCAGCACTGCAGTGACACTGACATGGTGGTGGTGAGTTAGTGTGTGTTGCACTGATCTGAGTGGATCAGACAAAGGACTGTTAATGGAGCCTGTGTATCACAGAATGTTTAACTAGCACAATAGCATACGGTTTTGGGTCATTCTCCATTTGGTGTGAGAAACCAGCTCACAGAGGTTGCAGGGCTTAAAAGGATGGATCTAAGCCATTTATCCTTCTGGATCGCGGGGGGCCTTTCCCTGGGATATCATGAGATATTGTTCATGCATTTAGGACATAAAATAAATATCATAAGAATGAATCACATGGAGCAGGTTTTCTCTGATGAAATGGAAATTTAAATGTTTAAATGGTTCTTTGCACTGTTAAATGGTGCTTCTCTATTATGGAAACCTTGTGGTAAAGAATTATTTTAAAAATGGTTTCATAAAGATGAAGAACCTTTTTTGGTACTATATAAAACCCTTTTTGCTTAGAGTGTATAATATATTAGGCAGTATATAGCAGAAGTCTACACCGTCTAAGTTATTATTGAATAAAATAACAACAACAAAGAACAACTATATTAATAATGACAAGTGATTCCAAACTTTTGAGTTACACCATCATCAATCAATGAATTCAGTAATCACTCTCATCAATTCTACATTCAATTTCATGTTGATTTTGAAAGCATTCCTCATTTTACTTTACCTCTAAGAAAGCAATGCTTACTTTTTTCAGATGGATTTTTTTTTTTTACATATCAGTACGTTTGGATGGAAAGCTCATGTTCTATGCTTCTGTTCTAGGCAAAGAGCACAACTTTAACAGCTATGATGATACAGTATCCAGTGCCCTAGGTGTACCCTACGACTACGGTTCTGTTATGCACTACAGTAAGACCTCCTTCAACAAGGGCTCTGAGCCAACCATCGTCACTAAGATACCGGAATTCATGGACGTGATTGGCCAGCGCATGGAGTTCAGTTTCAGTGACGTACTCAAGCTAAACAAGCTTTATAACTGCAGTGAGTTCAGTTCCCGCCATTGTAATTCACTGTAATGATACTATATACTTATACAACATGCTTTATCTTTTACCTTTGGTAAAATGGCGTATATATGATGGAAAGTGAAAGTCCATTTCATGCACTGGCACTTGGCTAAATAAGAATCAGACTTTTTTGTTGCTCACATCTCCCTCTCATGTGTTCCTCCAGCCACATTCTCCACCTTTTTGGATTCCTGTAGTTTTGAGGAGCCTGATATCTGTGGTATGATCCAAGGAGACGATACAACGGGCAAGTGGGTGCGTGTGAGGAGTGTGGAGGGAGGTCCAAACACAGATTATACCAACATGGGCCAGTGCAATGGTATGAACATCCCTCAGAAAAACAAGTGATTATTCTTTCTTCAGTGACTGTAAAACACTAACATGATAAGAAAAAAATGAGACACTGAACTCTGCAGAGTTCAAACAAGAAAAGCAAGAGGTTAAAACAGTTATGGTATTAATAGCCCTTGTACTGCAGTGTGTAGCTAATAGCTCATGGCCTTTTGTTGATAATTGCTCCCTTGATAATAGCTAAGCAAAAACATGTCTTTATTCTGTCTATGTGTTTTATGAGGCTGTTACATTGGCACTTTGGTCTTTAGAATCTTTATACATTTTATTGACACGTCATAAAAGAAAGTCCAAAAAGACTGATTTGATGTGATTGCATAATAACAGACTGAAATATTTTGTGATATATTTCTCTTTCTTTCTTTTTTTTTTGCAGGTGCAGGTTTCTTTATGCATTTTAGCACAGCCACAGGGAGCCATGGAGACAATGCTTACTTGGAAAGCCGGTTCTTTTATCCTAAACGAGGATCCCAGTGCCTGCAGTTCTACCTGTATAACAGTGGGGGTGCTGATGACCAGTTAAACGTGTGGGTGCGCGAGTATAACAGCACAAATCCAAAAGGAGTGCTGAGACTCATTCAGACACTCAATGGTAATTTACTCAGCTGATCTAATGTTACGGATTTAAGGCATAATCCACAAATAAATGTTCTACTACTTGCTACTACTTGCTACTCTCAACCGATTGATTCTATGAAAGGTTTATAGCCTGGTCTGTGCACAGATAGACCCCCAGTGGGGCTAGAGCTCCTGGCCTTTTACTTTTAGACTGCACAAGTGCCTTCTTGATCAGGGTGAATAATGATGGCTCTACTATTATTCTACATTATTTGGGTGAGGTGACTCAGCCTCATCTGGGGAATATAGCTTGTGGGTCAGCTTAGGTTCAACAAGTTTTGTCGCTCATGGGCACCCCCACTAGTGCAGTACCAAGTGTCTATGGATACACACCGATCAGGCATAACATTATGACCACCTCCTTGTTTCTACGCTCATTGTCCATTTTATCAGCTCCACTTACTATATAGGTACACTTTGTAGTTTTACCTTTACAGACTGTAGTCCATCTGTTTCTCTGCATACTTTGTTAGCCCCCTTTTACCCTGTTCTTCAGTGGTCAGGACCCCCATGGACCCTCACAGAGCAGGTATTATTTGGGTGGTGGATCATTCTCAGCACTGCAGGAACACTGATGTGGTGGTGGAGTGTTAGTGTGTGTTGTGCTGGTACGGTGTGGTGTCCACTCACTGACCTTGTCAGTCCACCTTGTAGATGTAAAGTCAGAGACGATAGCTCATCTGCTGCTGCACAGTTTGTGTTGGTCATCCTCTAGTCCTTCATCAGTGGTCACAGGACGCTGCCCACAGGATGCTGTTGGCTGGATATTTTTGGTTGGCGGACTATTCTCAGTCCAGCAGTGACACTGAGGTGTTTAAAACCTCCAGTAGCACTGCTGTGTCTGATCCACTCAGACCAGCGCAACACACACTAACACACCACCACCACGTCAGTGTTACTGCAGTGCCGAGAATGATCCACCACCCAAATAGTACCTGTTCTGTGAGGGTCCATGGGGGTCCTGACCACTAAAGAACAGGGTAAAAGGGGGCTAACAAAGTATGCAGAGAAACAGATGGACTACAGTCTGTAATTGTAGAACTGCAAAGTGCACCTATATAGTAAGTGGAGCTGATAAAATGGACAATGAGCTTAGAAACAAGGAGGTGGTCATAATGTTATGCCTGATCAGTGTATGGATGTGACTTCAGTCAACTTTGATCTTTCACGCATGCACACATCACCACCTGCTGTTAAAGCACCAGTAACATCTCCTTATGAACCTCTTTATGATGCTGTATTGAACAACAATCAAACATAATAGTGTTAAGGATGCAAAAAATGAAAATGTTTTTGTTAATGTAAAAACTAGGAGTGGAGCTTATCGCTTAAAGAAAGTTGTAACTCAGAGAAGCAGTAACCATTTCCCAAACTGGAGATCAGGGTTTAATTAGAAATATAACGTTATCATACTACTTCAGTTTACAACACATTTAAATTAACTTTCATTCACATTCACAAATGTCTGTGCATGAGCCTGTTTAAAGTCACACTGTGTGCATTCAGAGTAATGTGTTGCTTTCTGGGACAGGCGGCCTCAGGAACTCCTGGGAGCTTTACCGCGTGACGCTGGATGTGTCTCAGAAGTTCCGAGTGGTGTTTGAAGGGGTGAAGGGATCAGACGCGTCAAAAGGAGGTCTGTCTCTGGACGACATCAACCTCTCAGAGACACAATGCCCCCACCATACCTGGCGCATTCGGGACTTCACCAGCCTCCTGGCCACAACACCTGTTGGTTCCAAAATCTACAGTCCTACTTTCTTGTCTCGTGAAGGCTACTCTTTCCAGATCTCCTTGTATATTAATGGAAAGACAAGTAGTCCTACCAACATGGCAATCTACTTCCACCTGACCTCAGGACCTAATGACAGCCAGCTGACATGGCCCTGTCCATGGCGACAGGCTACCATGGCACTGATGGACCAGAACCCAAATATTCAACATCGCATGGACAACCAAAGGATGATCACTACCGACCCAAGCAAGACCTCCACTGACTGTAAGAATGAGCAAGTGATAGGAATAGAATAGGAGAGAGTGCAAGTAATGCCAAACAGACATTTAGATAAAATAAAGGAAACAGTAGATGTAGATGTGATCTGGTGTAGTAAGAGTACTTGTAGTATTGTAGTCTTAAGACCATATTTTCCTTTACAATGCTTTTTTATATATAATGTGTTTTTAAATATTTTTCTGCCCCTAAAGCTCTGGGTAATGTGGAATATTTCTGGGATGATCCACGGAAAGTTGGCAGTCGGGTACAAAATGCAGATGGTACCTCATACTACCGAGGGCCTGGTTATGGCACCAGCTCTTTCATTACACACAGCCGTCTGAAGAGCCGTAACTTCATCAAAGGAGATGACGTCATCTTCCTCCTTAGTCTAGAAGGTAACTTTGAAGTTGACATTTAAAGGGGATGAAATAATCCCATAATTATTTCTATCTCATAATTTCATCATTACAGCTTAGGATCTCAATCATGACTTAGTATCTCATTATGACCTACAATTTCATAATTATGACTTATTATGTCACAATTATGATGTTGCATCTCATAATTATGATGTAGCACCTCTTAATTATGACTTATTTTCTCATAATTATGACCTAGTATATCATATAACAGGAGGCTTTACATCACAATTATTAGAAACTTTCTTATTGTTATGAGACACTAAGTCATTGTTATGAGATATTAAGTCATAATTGAAATAATAATGAGGGAGTATGTCACAATTATGAGAAACGTTTCTCATTAGTATGATATACTATATATTTTACATACTATAGGCCTTTTTTTCCAAGCGGTGGAAATTTGTTTCCATAAAATACTGAACAAAGGGCTGAAACTTTTATTTTGCAGAACTGTTGTATAAGGCAATACAATATACAACACTGAATTTGTGAATGTGACAGAAAAAGAGCATAATTTTAATAATATATATATATATATATATATATATATATATATATATATATTAAATAAACCTTAAAGCCTATGGAAAATAGACCGACCCTTAGTACATCATACTAAAATATCACAAAGAACTTTAAAAAAGCATTTGAACAATTATTTCTTTTCACTTTCCTTTCTTCTCCAGATGTGACTAACCTTCTGAAGACTCAGCCTGTGCCTCAGTCTGTTGCCTGTGGAGAGAACTGCCTAAACAGAATCTCAGCATCTGATGACTCCACAGCAACCTTCACTGCAAATGCCACTGCAACGGTGGTGGTGTACGCTTTTGTGGGAAGTGTTGTGTTGTTGATTGCGGTTGCAAGTGTGCTGTACAAGGTGAAGAGGCGCCAAGAGAGTGAAGAGATGGACAGAGAGGGAGGAATAGAGCCGGAGAGAATCAATGGCTGTAAGTATCCAATGTTTGAACAGTCAAGAAGGTCCAAGTCATTGTTGATCATTACATTTAGTAGAATGTGGTCATTAGTAGAATGATGAGCTGAGATTGACGTTAATTTGTTCCTTTCTTTACAGAACTTGCCCATCAGCTCACGCTACAGTGGAGGACCATGATCAACATGTACTTCAACCAAATAACTTTTTGCATGAATCTCAAATGAAACCAAATATCTACTTTTTCAATCAAATATATTAAAAAGACAAAAAAATACTGCTAAAAAGCAGTAGGTTTACCCCCTGCTTTTCAAACACCTCAGACTGACCTTTGTTAATTTGGGTGAGAAGCTCCAGGACCATCGCAGACTGAGACCTGGTCACCTTAAAAAGGCTTTCATTAGTGCAGATTTGAAAACCTTCACTATATAGGAGGTCAACAGTGAGGCAAAGCTGAAGTGTTAATGTCTTACAGTAAACAATACCTAAAAAATAGAAAGACAGAGAGAAATATGATGGTAGAAGTTGAGAACACTGGAGAGAATTAGAAGACTATACCAGTCTTGACTGATGTCAGTCTTTTCCTTTTGACTGCTCCTTTGAGATGCTGGTCTTGTCTTCTAACTGGCTTGAGGTGAGTTGATCAGAGACGAGTGCACTGTTAAAAATGAAGCTTCCTTAGGGGTTATTGGCTTGAACATACAGTTCCAGGAAAAATCTTTAATTGGTGTGAAATCTCTACATCAGTGGTTCCCAACCCTGATCCTGGATGACCCCCTGACCTCCACATTTTTGTCTTTTCCTGCCAAAACACCCACTTCAACACTGGAAGCGTTTGTTCATTAGCAGATTAGTTGGATCAGGTGTTTTGGGAGCAGGGCAAATGTTAATATGTGTAGGGAAGGGGGTCGTCCAGGACCAGGGTTGGGAAATACTGCTCTACATTATGGTGAGGGTCCTTAATCTTTTAATACAGTTCTTCATGCTCACATGTCACTCAAAGAAACATCCATTAAAAGGTCCCTTAAGGAATCAAAAGTGCCTTTTCTACACAAAACAAAAAGCACAAAGTGTTCTTTGAGCGAAACCAAAGAATTAACACTTTTGGTTCCCTAAAAAACAATGTTTGAAAAAAGGGATTTGTGAGTTTGTCAATTTAAGGGTTCTTCTGAAATCCTTTACATTAAGTGGAGGTTCTTTAAACTTCGAAAAGGTTGTAAAAATGTTCTTCAGACTCAGACATATCGCTTTTATGAAAATAGGTTTCTTAAGGAATCATTCATAAAAAGTTTCGTTGGGGAACTACAAGTGCTTCCTTTGTGGCAGAGGTCACCAGTCTTCTCCACAATGGGCCAGTCTAGCTGCAGCTTTTTCGAAACAACTTATAGTACAACTTATCACACCTCAAGTAACTAATCAGAGTGTGTGTGTGTGTGTGTGTGTGTGTGTGTGTGTGTGTGTGTGTTTCCATGCTTTGCCTTTATTACAGCTTGCACCACTTTGGGAGACTTACTTTCAATTTTTCAAAGTTATCTGTAAGCATTTTTCCCACTGCTTCAAAGTTCACTCTTAGAAATTGGAGGCATTTTCTGCTTCTCACAAGCCACGTAATCCCAATAGTGATTCATACCAATAACATCTGTCATTATGTCAAAGAAAACACCTTGTTAAACACATCTTCCCCCATTTAACAATTAATATTTCTTGTGTAAGAGTGAGTGCGTTTACATGCACTCAATAATCCAATGCCTGAAGAAAATCAGATTTTGTCAGCAATCCAATCAACACATGTACATACACTTGAGTAATCAGATGGTGGGAAACTCTGGGTCTACATGAGTCAGGCAATAATCGGGTTTCTGCTTTGCAACCAGCCAATAGACTCACAGAACAAGACGTGACGTAAACCTAATGTAAAACTCAAACTTCATACCATGGCTTTTTTTTTTAAACATCGCGCTACTTTACCTGAAAATATGAACTGAAGATGAAGAATATTCAAATCCTTTATTTCGTAGTATTTTAGTAGTAATCGGAGTAAGAGTTTACATGCACTGAGAAATCTGATTACGGAGTTAAATCCAGCTCTCTTTATCAGATTTCTTAATCGGATTTCTAGATCAGAGTATGGTGTTTACATGACCATTTGAATAATCAGATAACTGCAGAAATCCGATTATGATCGGGTTACTGAGTGCATGTATACTCTGAGCTCCAAAAGTACAGTGAACATCTGTCTTCAGCCTGATTATGGCTAGAGTCATTCTCCTTCCTACTCATTCACCCACAACATAGTCTTTAGCCCCTGAAGGCTGTTGTCCAAACCTACTGGGTTTGGATGATGCACTAAGAGAGTTCTCAGTAACTAGTTTTGTGAACACAGGGCAGTTGTGACAGGCAGACTCCAAATCAGCTTTATGAATGGCACTGAATTCAGATGAAAACATGGCAACAGACTTAACAGTTTCAGCAGAATTCCATCACTGTCAGGAAGTGGCATTCTTGATGGACAATCAGCAACACGTTCAGTGTTGGTCAACCTCATAGTCAAACTCAATGAGGTGTACAGACCACCTGACTATATATGTGCATTACCTGTCGTAGAGAGGATGGTTATAAGGGCTCGATGGTTGGTGGGAAGTATGAATGTTTTTTCCCAGTGCCAAGTGCACCACTTTTTGCCAATCATTTACATCTGCTTTGTGACCCATTTTCCACCAACTGAATGAGACTTTCACTGCATTGTACCACCTCTTCTCAATCTATGAATCCTGTCTACACCCTGCAGGTATTTAGAGCTTGATCATCCTTGTGCAGTGCCATCTGCAAGAGCCTGAAGTTACTACCACCTTAAACACATGAGGTGATTTGTCCAGGGAACTTAATAGCATATGATTTGGAGATAATGGTGTAAAAATTAAAAGAGATGAAATATTTGGGAAGGGCAAGGAGAACTCAGATGACGACCCCTACTTGCCCAGAAAAGGGTAAAAAAGTTATGGTTTTGTGGGTTGGTCAGTTGTTGCCTGGGCCAACTCAGATTAACACTTGTCTGTTGGGAAGGCTTAATCTTTAATAAAGGAGTCTTTGCCTTTTTCTGCCACTCCTGATGTTTGAGCATTATTTTGAACACACGCAATATATAAACAACTAAAAGCATCACTCCAATGAAGTCAACTCCATCATTACTATTATTAATCATTATACTTCTTCTCAGTACTCCTCCTTATCACTGCCGCCTCAGCACCTTCTCTTCTTTTCTGAATGTAGTTTACACAAACGCATGAGTATATAGAGTGTAAAAGAGACACAAAAGCAGCATACACACTCATGCTGAAGGAGAGCGGCTGTAACTGTGGCCTCTTATGGGACATTTCTGCTTCTCTGCTTATTATCTGCAGAGAACCTGTGTCTGGTGAGTTTAAATCTTGTCATCTTTCATTATTTCATTATCTACAATTTATTCAACAGATGTTTAGTATATATCTAATGGCCGTTTAATGTACCTTCTGAAAAAAGTACATAAAATAGGAGTGAAAGCAGAAATTTATATACCCTGAAAAAGCTGCATTGAATTTTCCTGATTGGATGCACACATCTTTTCCACATGAGTAAAACATGCAACCATTGTATTATCAATACAATTTGGCCGATCAGGTTACTTACTTTTAGAAATAACTGGATGTAATATATTTTGTGATGTACACATTTGATTCAAACAAGTGAATGCATCACTTTTTCAATGTACTTAAAGAGCATATGACAGAAAAAAACACTGCTAAGACTTCCCCTTTTGTTGCAGTATGTTTTTACTGCTGAAATATAAGATGATGTAAGTGCTCCATGGGTTCCAGGGAAATTCTGTAGATTTCTGGAAGGATTTCTCAAGTGAAAAGTGTCGCAACATTGCTGTGAAATATTCAGCAATGTCCTTAGTTAATAGTAGGCCTATACACAGCAATTATGCCAACATTCGTTTACATTGTTTATGTGAACAGATCTTTGTTATATGACTAAATATTTTTTGTGTGTTTGTTTTTCTCCTATAGTCAACTTCCTCACTCTCAGCTGATGCTACTTATTTGTGTACTGCAAGATATCAATAACTGCTTACAGTCTTAAATACAGGATAATGAAATCTTGAGTTTTGTGGTATGTCTATTTGTTTAATATCAGGTTTTATAGAGCTGGATGTGGATCACGGGAAAGAATTTGACATAAACGAAGGTCTGTGTGCCATATTGTTGTGTCTTACTGCTTTCCAAAACAACAGTAGTGTTCCTTTTTCACTTAGTGTCTCACCCTCAATTTCTGTGTAACAGATGCAGGGCTTGATCTGGTAGAGGGATACATTCTCACTGATGAGGTCAGTATCCTATTTTATGTACTTTCTGTTTACCCCTTTTAGCATGTGTTGTATTATATTATTGGGGTCTCGAGGCCTTTCGCTTCAACAAAGTCGAGAAATCCGCAACTCTGGCAGTGTAGATGACTCTCACCTCGAGTGATGCTTGGAGACGTGAGTACATGGGAACCATATGAGATCAATGACATGAGAAATTCAGCTAAACAACATTCAGCACCATTAGTCATCATTAGTATGATGAGTAAAAACAATAAAAAGACTCTTTGGACCACATCAACAACCATCAGTGAAGCATTTTGGAGAATCAGTGCAATTTTGGCAGATGTATAACAACATCTGCAGTTGATGATTTGCTTTTGATTGAAGAAATCATGAACTCTGATGAGTAGAAACAAATTTTAATATATCATGCAATACCCTCTGGAAAATGTTTAAAAATGGAAAACATATCATTCTAGAGCAAGACAGTGACCCCATGCACACTGCTGAAAGGATCAGGATGTACTTATCAAATAATACGCTGCTGGTGTTCTCAGAACAGTGGCCAGATCTCAACACCGTTCAGTGTGTTTGGGATTACTTGAATAGAAGCAGGAAATATAACCAAATTGCAAGACTGAACTTTGTATATGTTTCTAAAAGAAATACAAAAATATCCCAGTTGATTTCTTTGAAAAACTGAAGGCAAAACTCTTAAAAAGAATGGAAGCTGTAATAAAGACAAACTAAATAAAAGAAAAAATGTTTAGTTTTGGAGGCTTCTGTGTGATTCTGTTAAATATATATTTTCTGCTTTTGTTGTTCACTTTAAAAAATTATAAATAATATTTATTAAGTTTTACTTTTTATAAATAAATTTTTCAATTTTATTATGTCTTCATTAACTTTTTACCACTTTTTTGAAAGTTACTGCTCTTGACTTATTGCTGATAACTCTTATCCATCTTGATGAAAGCTAATTAAATCTTTGCTCTGATATGTTTTATTTTTTATGAGGCCAATTTTCCAGGACTTTGCTCTTTATGATCTGTAGATATTTATTGACGTCACACCAGAAAGTCCAATGAGCCAAGTATCTTTCCTTTTCCAGTGGAATACTCTGAGTCTAATAAATTTGGCTAAATCTTTAATTGCTTTTTTTCCCTTTAACATTTTCCTTTTCAGCTGCAGGTTTCTTCATGCATTTTAGCACAGCCACAGGAAACTATGGAGTGCTGATGACCAGCTGAACGTGTGGGTGCGCAAGTACAAGAGCGCAAACCCCAACGGAGTGCTGATGACCAGCTGAACGTGTGGGTGCGCAAGTATAAGAGCGCAAACCCCAACGGAGTGCTGAGACTCATTCAGACACTCAATGGTAATTTACTCAGCTAATTTGATTAATCTCCTTTTCCCTGCTTTAATGCACCTCTGGGTCTGTGAAAGGTGCAACATAAACATGACATTCTTTTTATTATTGATAACAACAACAATAAAATGAAGACCCTACTAGTAAAGCTGTAAAATATTATCCAGGTTTCCTTTTGCCAGGTTGGATGAAGCTTACAAGATGTTGACAAAATCCCCGTTTAATGTCGTCAGAAATTGTAGCAGAAACTTGGAAAGTCACACTGATAAAAGGAGGGTGGATACAGTTTCTCCTTCCAACAATATTACTCATTTGCATTTTGAGTAATATGTTGCTTTCGGGGACAGGTGGCCTCAGGAACTACTGGGAGCTTTATCACATGAGGCTGGATGTGTCTCAGAAGTTCCGACTGGTGTTTGAAGGGGTGAGGGGCACAGGCACATCAAATGGTGGTCTCTCTGTGGACAACCTCAACCTCTCAGAGACACAGTGCCCCACCATACCTGGCATATTCAGAACTTCACCAGCCTCCTCACCATAACACCTGTTGGTTCCAAGATCTACAGCCCTAGTTTCTTGTCCTGTGATGGCTATTCTTTTTAGATTGGTATATATGCCAACGGGGTTACAAGCAACCCTGGCAACATAGCCATCTACTTCCACCTGACCTCAGGACCTCATGACCACCAGCTGACATGGCCCTGCCCATGCCGACAGGTTACCATGGCACTGATGGACCAGCACCCACATATTCAACAACGGATGGACAACCAAAGGATGATCACTACCGACCCCAGCAAAACCTCCACCGACTGTAAGAATGAGCAAATAAGAGGGAGACTTTGAATTTTGAATACCATTGTAGTGATAACAGATCCATAGATTTGAGATTTTGATTGAAGTCTGCCTTTTATCTGTATAATTCAGTGTTTTTTTCTGCCCCTGAAGTTCTAGGTAATGTGCAGTATGTCTGGGATGATCTACAGAAGGTGGGCAGTCTGGTGAGAAACCCAGATGGTACATCTTACTATCGAGGCCCTGGTTGGGGCTACAGTGCTTTCATCTCACACAGCCGTTTGAAGAGCCGTGACTTCGTCATAGGAGATGTTGTCTTCTTCCTCTTCAGTCTAGAAGGTACCTTTGGAGCTGGCGTTTGTGATGACTGTCCACTAGAGCAATTAAGATGCCTTCATGAGAGATCAAAATAGCTTCATTTTCATAATAAGGAGCAACATTTTAAAGCTGAATTTCCAGCTTTGGAATGATTATTTCTATTCGCTTGCCTTTTTCCAGATGTGACTAGCCTCCTGAAGACTCAGCCTGTGCCTCAGTCTGTTGCCTGTGGAGAGAATTGCTTAGAGAGAATGTCATCATCTGATGACTCCACAGCTAACTTCACTGCAAATTCCACTGCAAACTCCACAACGGTGGTGGTGTGTGCTTTTGTGGGAGCTCTCATGTTGTTGCTTGCAATTGCACTGTACAAGGTGAAGAAGCGCCAAGAGAGAGGAGAGATGGATGGAGAGGGAGGAATAGAGCCAGAAAGAAAATCAATGGCTGTAAGTATCCAGCATCCAAAACAGTGAAGATCCAAGTCATTGTTGATCTTTAAATTTAGAAGAATGTAGTCATTAGTATAATGTTAAGTGGAGATTGATGTTATTTTTGTTCCTTTCTCTACAGAACTTGCCAGTCAGCTCACGCTACAGTGGAATGAGCCGTGACCAAAACACCCAAAAGTACTTGTACCAAATTATTTTGCATATGAATTTCAAATTCAACTGTTCTTAAATCTTTTAAATTCTTCAGATACATTAAAAAAAATAAATTAAATTTCACAATTCCAGTGTCCTTCTGCCTTCAAACACCAGAAAAATACAAACTCAGTCAGATAGGAGTGCTCAAATGGTTTATTAGTGACCAACAGAATGACATACATGAATACTATGGACAATGGTACAGGACACAACTAAACAAAGCCAAGACAAATTTTCTTTTATGCTTCCTTCAGTGTCAGATGAGGAAGACCACATCCTCAGACACCATGACCTGGTTATCGTCCTGCATGCGCTCCAGCAGCAGGTTCACCTCTTGCTGGTCGAACTCCTCAGACTGACCCTTGTTAATGTGAGTGAGAAGCTCTGGAACAGCCACAGACTGAGACCTGGTCACCTTGAAGGCTTTCAGCAGTGCAGCCTTGAAAACCTTCATTCTATAAGAGGTCAACAGTGCAAGGCAAAGCTAAAGTACTAAGGTCTGATTTCAAACATCAAGAAAGATATGATGGTAGGATCACTGGGAAAAATAGGAAGTGGAGTTGAGGACACTGGAGAGATTTAGAAGATACCGATACCTGTCCTGACTGATGTCAGTCTTTTTCTTTTGACTGCCCCTCTGAGATGCTGGTCTTGTCTTCTGACTGGCTTGAGCTGATCAGAGATAAAAGCACACTATTAAAAATGAAGGTTCCTAAGGGGTTATGATTTGAAGATACAGTTCTAGGACAAAAAAAAATTGGTATGGAGACTTTACATTATGATGAGGTTCTTTAAACTTTTATCAAAAGGGCCTTCATGCTCACATCTCACTTATATTGTTCTTTTAAAAGAACCGTCCATTAAAAGTTCCATTAGCGAACCAAAAGTGTTCTCTGTACTGTTGAAATAAAATAAACTAAAAAAAAATAAATGTTCTTTAAGCAATGCCATAGAACAGTGGTTTCTAACCATTTAGTGTTTCCCCCGCTTCCAACATACCTGATCCAACTAATCAGCTAAGTTCACAAGCCCTTCATTGACTGAAGTGGGCATGTCGGGAGTTGGGAAAACACTAAAATGTGCAGGGCAGGGTTGGAAGCATGTGCCAAGGAATAACCACTTCTGGTCCTCTAAAGAACTAGGTTTGGAAAAGGGTTTAAAGGCTTAAAGATCCTCACATAATGTAAAGGTTCTATACCAATTGGGCCTTTACATTATGTGGAGGTTCTTTAAACTTTGAACCCACTTTTAAAAGGTTCTTCACAGTCGGCTTATTTTAAGAAATGGTTCTGCTATGGCAGGGTGTACCAATCTTATCCAAAATAGGGTGGTGTTGCTACAGGTTTTCATTGCAACCGAGCCAATGCACACTTCATGAAACTAACCAGAAGACTAATATCAACTGACTAAACAAATAGAATCATGTGTGCTCCAGCTTGTTTGGAATGAAAACCTGCAGCCACACCAGCCTTTATTGATCAGACTGGAGACACTTGTTCTATGGCATCACTACAAAGTCACTTTTAGCACCTTTAATTTTGCATAGGCCATGGCTAACAGTGTGAAAACATACTGCAGATCTTTAGGGATAGGTGGTTGTCGGTGAAGGATAACAATACATTAAATTACTCACTGTCTTCATTCTCTGTAAAGTCATAAGGGTCATCAGAATCGTCTGCCATTGTTGAATCCATGTCATCTTTAGAGACACGGGAACGTTTCCTGTGGATGATGCCATTCATCATGTAAGCTAATTACCTCATACCTAAAGCACTACTTTTCTACATACTGTATGCAACACCAGAACCGCACTACAATTCATCTCCAATATTATACCTGACACTTCTCTGGCTCTGAGTCTCCTCGCTCTGAGTACCATCCATCTGAGAGTCAGCATTGTCCTCAGGAAGCTTCCTCTTCTTGTTCTTCTCCAGAATCTACACAAAGGACACCAACATGTATTAGATATGGTGTCCCTCTTAGTTAAATGTTTAGTTCAAATCATTGATCGTTTCATAATTACCTTTTTGAAGTAGGCAAACTGCATGAGCTCCAGAGCAGCCTCTGCATCGCCCAAGTCAATGGTTTTACTCATGCGAGCTTTAGCATGGGCTGTGGCTAACCTGATCATCGTCTCGAGAGCACGAGCAGTCACTGGCATCGTCTGCAAGCAGGTAATACCAACAACAGTTACAGCAACTTTTGATCCCCCCCCCCAGTTCTTTGTTGATAAGTCATAGGTCATTGAATAATCATCTAGAAACTTCAATGAAAATGGGTTTAGACATAAAAGCTTGGTCCTCTGTACACACCCTTGCTGAGTCGCTGTTGACCTGATCATGGCTTCTGAGTTTGGAATACTCTTCTGCTATGTAGTCTGAAGCCTCCTGGGTCAAAACTGGTCTCACTAGCTTAGCCACATGGATATATTTTCGGATGAACTCCATGGTAACAACCTTTTCCCTGCAAGCCGAATCAAGAAAATGCCATGATTTGTTTTGCCCACCAGTCTTAAAACATTTGTAAAAATGATTAGATTGTTTACATGCTCTTGAATCTGGACCCTGAATCCAGTCTCCAGTCCTTGATTTTGTAGTCACTGCTAGTTAACTGAACTGTTGACTGGAAGTGTCAAACCTACCGGAACCAGGACTCAAGGTCTGGCTTTGAAGACCTCTGCTCTAAACATTCTATAGGCAAATTTTAAGTGTTCATACCATTCAAAAAATTAATATTCCTCACTTTTTGATGTAAATATTGCTTAAGGTTTCAAAACATTCACTCAAGTGTATAAATGGGAACTGGGCAACAAAAACAGCCCATTTAGACTGTTTGACCATTAAGACAATATTTTCATGAGGTCACAAAAAACACCACGTTTACATATTTCTGCCTATTCAGCCTACAGCATCTTAGCCCCACCCACTCACACAAAAGTTAGTGTTTCATCCCAGACACAGCATAGCAACAAAAACAGCCTGTTTAATTCTAATGATAGATTAGTTGGAAAAGGGCCAAGTGAAATGAATGAATGTTTTTGGGACATAAAACTACAAAAACACAATAAGGGGACCTCAGGGGGAAAAGAAAATACAAGAAATATTTAGAACATGGTCCATTTAAGGTGATGGTTGGAATCAATTAAGACCACTTTAAACCTACTTTTTCTTCCTGTGACCATGGAGTACATTGTCCTTTTTCTCATAGATCTGCAGTTCCTGTTCTGCTGCCTCTGTGATGTTCGGATCTTCTGTGGCAAATATGTCCACCGTGCTGCCCAGAGGCATCGCTATTGATGCATACAAATCAGTCAGGCTTAAGACATTGACAGGGTCATTTGGCCTGCAGAGCAAGATTATGTAATGTAGAAAATGTATAGCCAAAACTGTAAAACCTCATGCATGTTTTGACAGTGACCAAGGATACCCATACTGAAAACTCTTTCAGTCAAAGATCAAACTGGATCGGTCTGGAATATCATTAACTGCCACAAGGTGGCAGCCTCCTACCTGCTCCCTCCTGCTCTCCTGGTGGTCGGTATCTATGCATGCGCAACACATGCTCTGAGATCTCCCGGTCACTATCTGCATCCATCTGATCAAGAACGATGAAGAGCAGATCGAATCGAGAGAGTAGGGAATCTTGCAGACCAATGTTCTCCATAGGGGTTTTATACTGGTCATACTAGGATGCAAGATGAAAACCAGTCAACATGGACCAAACCAATCTACTATCACTTGCTAAGCACTGTTAGAAACCGTCTCCCATTAAATAGGCCATTTAAAAGCACTGCCTGAAGAACTAAGAAAAACAAATAGCATGTTACCCTTCCATAGACTGGGTTAGCAGCAGCCAACACACTGCAGCGAGCATTCAGCCTGGCCTGGATCCCAGCTTTAGCAATTGTAACTCTCCCTTGCTCCATCACCTCATGGATGGCTGTACGATCCATGTCCGACATCTTGTCAAATTCATCGATACATACCACCCCTCGGTCAGCAAGAACCATGGCACCTGCCTCTAACCGCCGCTCACCTGAGAAATGGATGGAGATCGATTAGAGTTGAGACTTTCATCTCCAACCCAAAGCACTGAAATCAAACACCTCATCTAGTTCATACAGCCTCTCCCAATAAAGATTGAGAACGTGTGGCTAATTAGGGTTGGAACTAGGTTTGATAGAGAAGGAAGGTAGCTCTCCAGGGCTTGATTGATGACCATGTGACAAAGTATATATGGATCCACAAAAAAGATTTGTGCCTTTCCTGATTTCTCAATTATTGCATATTTGTGTCACAATGCTTCTCAAAACAAAATGTACTATTAGATCAGTGCAAACTTTTCAAACAAAAACATTTTAAAAAAGGACCATTTCATGCATTTAAGGAGCTATCAGCATGCGAAACACCCATGTGGAAAAGGTAATTAACTTGTTGGTTGCAGTTATTGCTGCTAAAAAGTTAAGAAACATTTTCTATAATATCTTTTCAGCCATTAACATTGTTGTGGAGGTAGATGAGCTCACTTCACAAAACTGCTATAATTCAGATATACTGGTAACTTTTCAAGGTTTAACTGCTCATTTGAGGCCCCTCCACCGCATTTCTACTAGCTAAAAGACAGGACTTTAACAAGACCATTAAAACATTAATTTGGTTTCTTTTTAGCCACTCAAATGTGGATTTTTTTTGTATTTTAGACTTTTTTTGCATAACTCAATTATATGTTTCAGCTTCAGCTCATAGCCAGATGAACACAATCTCCTTAAAATATCTCCAGAACAAAACAGAATTTATACTTTTTTCCTGTCCAGATCTGGAGGCAGCAAAACATGCCTGCAAATTCCTACTACCACCACCAGGTTTGAACATTGGTGTGATGTTTCTACTGTGAAACAGTATTAGGTTTACACCCAACAGGGCTGGCTGCCCTAAAACCTGGCTGTATTCAATCAGCTGAATCTCATTATCAGTGAACATTCTTTAATGCGTTGCTTGAGTAACTAAGAACAATAACTTTTTCACAAGGCTTATTTGAATGGTGGGTTACTTTGCCTCTTAAATTAAATAATAGTTAAAATGCAT